TCCTCACTGGGGTCCCCATGGGTGTTGCTCTGCTAACCTGGCAATAGTAGCCTCTGCCTTTGCTGCTGCCCAGTACGCCTGTGGACTCAGCCGTGGCTGCGAGAGCCGCACACTGAACTGAGACAGGATCAGCAGCCTGAAACTCAAGGACTTGATCAAGCCTTTGCTCCTGGGTGATCGGATCAAAGTCGTCCATACATACCCTCAGTCCTGGGACGAGGTCTTTAGTGGCTTCAACTTGCCAAGCAAAGTGGAGTGCACAATGGGGCTTGAAAGGAACCACCCAGTCAGGCCGTACACGGACAAAGCGATGCAACGACGGGTGAATGAGCGCATAGTCCAACTCATTTGAACCTCCCGCCGTGCCATGCCCCGTACCCAAGAATTGGCCCTTAAGGACCTCATTCAAGCGTGTACCCAAAACTTCCGGCAGATGTCCACAAAGTGACATTGGCACAGAGGACTGTGAACTGGCGGGGCGCCGAGGTCTTTCGAGTCGAAAGTGTTTCGGGACTGGAGTCTTCCATGGTCGTGGCATCACAAGCTTTTTCCAGAACCCAACTGGACAGGGTGTGCTCCTGGCTGGTGGCCTCCAGGTGCTCAACCATGCTGATCAGAAGGCTTTCATGGTCCCAGCCAGGGTTGGCAATCTTGCGAGCACACAGGCCAGCCATGGCTCACCACGAAGTAGGTTGCAGCTCAACCCGGCTCCAGGTTGCAATTGCGTCATCAAAACTGTCCCTTTGAAGACCCAAACTGCTGGAACAGTGAGGCTGGCTGCTGAGCACTAAAGGCGAGATCTGCTGAGAACATGGACCCCCCCCCACCCCACGTGAGGAGAAAACGGCTTACCTGACGCGCGTTGGGAATCCTTTCGCAGACCTTTAAATTCCCTAGAAGGGAACTGACTGCCTGAAACCCCCGCCCCGAACTGCTCTGCAGACATAGCCGAAAACGACTTACCCTCTGCGGCGCAGTGAGCTTCATATGGCTGTCGGAAATTTTTTGTGTTGTGGGCGACAATGCCTCTGCGGCACACTGAGCCTCCTGATGCTGTGGAAAAATTGTCTGCGCCCTCGGCACTACCTCTGCGGCGCATTGAGCTTCATATGGCTGTTGGAATTTTTTTGCGTTGCGGGGGAATTTCCCTCCTGGCGGACCTCATTCCCTAAGGCGAGGTGTGCTGCCCAAAGACGCTTCGGTCTGGGCTTAAACAGGCGCTGCAGACCCCCAGGTGCAGGCCATTGCTGTGCTGCAAATTCACAGCGCAGATCTGACATAGATGGTATGGCGGTGCAGGCTCAGGGCACTCCCCTTCCACCCCCTAGAGGGCCTCCCACAAAGAAATCCGAATGGGGTCCAAAACAGGCGTGCCCCCCTCGAATTCCTACTTCTTGGCGGATCTGCTGCGCGAGTCCGGCCTTTGGCTGCCTTTGTATCCTGCTGGTTGCCCAAGCCCAGTGGCTGGAATTCACTTCCTGACTGTTGGGTTCCTAGCCCCGGCGGGGACTCAACCTGGACACCTTCGCTTGGCCTCCTCCTCCTTTATTGCTTCTAGCCTACGCTTCTGCTCCTCTGTGAGCTGCGCATCCGTCAACCCCCCTGTCATCCCTAAAGCCTTCAGAACCAGGTCAATAGGGTCCGGGTCCTCAGTTTGGTCCAGGACCTTTTGCTGATAAATCAGGGTCTCCTGGTTGACCTTCTCCTGGGCTTTGCGAATGTTGTCTTGGAGCTGCTGCATCTTTTTCAGCTGGACCAGAAGGTTGACTGCAGGTCTAGCTTTTCGCAGCCCAAGGATGCGTAGCTCTCGCACAGCTTCCGCATACTTGTCCGCGACTTCCCTTCCTTCCTCGACTGGGCCAAGTGTCGGCTTGGTCGGCAGTGCGGCGATAACCTCAGACGGCAACTTGTCCTCAAAGGTTCGTAGCAACTCAATCAAGTCCTTCTCTTCAGTGGCAGGTTCAGGTGGCTGATATCCTGCCTCCTCCAGAGCCTTCTTTGCTTGGCTCGGCATGGCTGGCCACATCGCCTCCAAGGCTCTGCGCAGGGGCGCTGGGATCCTGGCCCGTTTCGGCCGGCTTTGCTTGGTCTCCCAGGGTTCCTCTTGCTGCCACTGCTGCGGCCACTGTGTCAAGGAGTCCCATGACTCCGCTTGTTGTTGCTGCTGAAGCTGCACCTGCCTTTTGGGCCATGCACTGCCACACCAAGGACAGACTGGCCTTTGCCAGACCTTGTCCGTTCTCACCCAGCTTTCCGGCCCGCATGTCGTACAGGTTAGAAACCTTGGCATGCCGGCCAAACCCCAAACACAAGGGGCCTTGGGTGCCTTGAAGCCCGAGGGGGAGAAACTCAGCCCTGCGGCGAGAAGGACGTTGACGCACTGTGCCTCAATCCTTCAGGAGAGGGGGTATGTAGTTGGCAAGTTACAGCCGGATCAGGCAAATCCTGATCTCCCTCAGCCTATATCCCGGCAGCAACCTCCAGGTCGCTCCTAAGATATAAACTGTGAACTCCCGCTGCTCGGCCGGAACCCTAATGAGCACTTCCGTCAAGTACTCAACACAGGCGGCCCACAGGAAAAAGTGGCTGTCCTCACGACTTACCAAATTTACGCTACCCCCTGCCCGCATAGAGCTTGAGCCAAAACTTGAGCCACCAGGTTGATCCTTCTTTCTCTCATGCAGGTCATGCAGCAGCAGCTTACCAAAAAAAACACTGAAAAAAAAAACTCATCATCCCCAGGGTGGCCTGATCCGCTCCTGCACAAAGATGGCAATGGCAAGTCTGCTGCTCCGACCAAGCTGCTGAGTAATATTCACAGAGTCATGGCGACTAAAACACAGCTCTCCTTCAGCTGCAGCAGCAGGTGCTTCCGCAGGACAGGCAGGTAGTCCCCACCCAGCTTCTCAGCCCGACATGCTGGGATGCAACGCCAACTACATTCATGCACCTTCAAAGGAATTCACTGAGGGCTCCGCCTTAACGTTCTCTGAAGCAATGTGAAATACCTGCGGTTAGGAACTTTGCCAAGTGGCCTACGTCGAAACCCAAAGGAGCCAGGGCCATGAAAAAAATTACCCATTAGAAGTCTTTGTTGCGAGTGCGCGGGTATTGACCTGTATGTGGAAAAAGTTGCGAAATGCTTGGAGATGCGATTGGCACTCCCCGTTCATGCTGTTCGGCAGTAGCTTCTGCGGCTATGGAGGGGCACAATGCTGGATGGCTGGGCAAAGCTAGCGGAGGGTCGCCCCTGTCATCCCTTGCCCGACTGCCTCCACTGGAGAAGCCGCCACCACCTTTGCATCATGCATGATAGCAGATCTAGGGCCACAAGGGTCGGAATTGAGTCTTGCGCGCATTATCTGCACACAGCATGGGCAGAACGCTAAGGGCCCAAACAGAGAAGGGCTCCTCGCAGAAGAGCGGGAAGAATGGAAGCGTGCAGAAAACCTGAGACAAGGCCAGACTTTGTGTCGCCATGAGCAGCGTAAGTCAAACATGTGCAGTAGCAGGAGAAACCCGAGGACTGAATTCCTAGGTGTTGGACACCCTCATTGCGCATAACATCACAGACGACCTCGCGCAAGTGTCTGCAGCTGAGCGAGTACTGTCACTGTGGGTGGCTCCTCTTCCCCGAGGTCATCTCTCGGAGTAAGCTGCTTGCGTCCTGTGCCTCAGCTTGATTGAGGCTTTGCTTTCTAAGGGAGTTTTTGATCTCAAGCTGGCGGCGCGGCGGCTCTGGAGTGCCCTGCTCTTAGGCCTGGCGCCAGACCTCAAGCAATAAAGCAGGGATATGCAGCGAGATGCTGAAGAGAGCACAACCGCCCACTCGCTGTGTGTAGCTATGCTCAACCGGATCAAGTGCGGGCAAGCAGCCTCTTGCTTCCAGCAACGCCGGTGCGTGGCCTCAGCTTTGCAGGAGGCGATGGCTGCTCGGCTTCAAAGCTCCGAAGGCCTCGCCGCCAGCGACCTGAGTGTCGAGATGATGGCAAGGCATCGTTGCTCGAGCCCTGGTGAAAATTTCGAGGCGATTGCGCGGCGATAGTGAGGCGATAGTGAGGCGCGAGCTTCCAGGATGACTCCACCATGGGGAGGTGCGAGAGAACGTAGGCCGGATTCTGACTGATCCTCCTCGGATTGCCAATCAAAGCTGCTCACTTGTGGAGTTGAAGTGGTGCAGGTTCCAGTAGCCGCCAGATGCTATGAGAAAAACCGGCTCCTGTATCTGCGGAACTCTAAGGCACCACTCTTCAAAATGTAGAGGGCTGGCTCGGTCATAACAATACCCTGGGCAGCAGGCCCCGCAACAACATGCGGAGACAATTGCGCTGCAAGCAAGCCTCGTACGTGAACTGAAAGCCTGCATTCAGAAGGGTAAGATCAGATAACAGGTCCCCATGCACGCCTACCAGGAGATGCCTTGAGGAAAGTGTCGAAGGCTGAAGTACTGGGACGGGTGGTCCATCCTGACGACATGCTTTGATCCAGCGGATCTCTCCTACTCCTCCCACCCTCAGCATCAAGAGTGTCAGCAGCAGCATCCCCTCATGAAATCAGCTCATCATCATCAACAACATGATATTGGAGCATGAGCATTCAAGTGAGATCCTGTACTCTGCTTCAGAAATGCCAGGAAGGCGATCATTGAAGAACCGGATCCTGGCCATGACCTGGCAAGGACCAACCGGCGCCGAGCTTTGCGCGGCCAATCCACATGCCCGGTTCCAAGGTATCGTTCTCCAAGCACGATAACCCATCAGAGCGAGAGAATCAGGGTCAGCCCAGCCCAGCCTCTGTGAGGACATGCAGCACGTGCTGCCTTACATGCAAATGGCCATCGATGCGGTCTGCGAACATTGCTGTCAAATCTACATGCACAGGCAGCCAGGCAAAAATCTCTCGCATCGTCTGCAGGTGTGTCCTACCCACCCTAGATAATGCGGGTTGCAAAACAAACAAGAAGCAAGAAGCCCCCCAACAAGGCCGTACCATGCTTCGCTGCCAAAGCTTCAGCCAAGCTACTTCTCCAAGATCATCAATCGGCATTTCGTCCGGCATCTCAGCACCCGAAATCATTTGCAGTTGCAATACAGCCTTCTGCAGTACTGCACGTACGCGGTTGGTGGATTGAAGCTTCGAAACTTCAGCATGTCTCTTCCAGCAAGGTCCGAACTTCACTGTGGCTGCTCTTGGCTGGGTGTTCTTGAGAGCCAGCTCACCGAAACATGCCGGCCTTGCTTGCATGACGTCAAAGAAAACAGCCGCGCTAGCATGCAGTTCCAAGCGTGAGTTGCTGGGCACCCTGTCTCAAACTCCGTGTCAGCTCAAGTATGGAGAGTTCATTTGGAGTCAACGACAGCACAAGACAAGGATCTGAGCTCCACTGCGCTTCGAGGGTTGCCACGCAAGGCCCCAAGACTGATGCCTGCCGCGAAGTTCTGACGTCTTGGGAAGCTCCTGAGATCCTGACTTGCCTTGCAAAAGCAGCTGAACCTCTCCAAAGTCAAGTATCTCTGGTCCTTGGCTGATTGGAGCTTTGGTAAGCAGTGTGCTAAGGGAATTGCCGTTGGCCCGACCTTGCGAAACCCTTTCGAGTTGCGGAGCGCCTGTACAGCATCAACATGGAGATTGGGCCAGCCACGTAGCTCCATGTAGCTCCTCTTGCTCGTGCTGCTGATGTGTTGCATATTTGTTCTGAGGGTCGCACTTCGACTAGAGTCACAAACCTGGCAGGAAATTCGGCCCCCTAAGCCGGTCCTTGCACGCGAAAACAAAAACAGGCCAGATCCTCTCTCGCATGTCAAACTGAGTGCATGTGCGAGGCGTCATCATCTCAGCCAGACCAGGCAGTCTTAAGGTGAGGTGCACAGGTAAAGATGGCATTTACCTCCGAAACTGCATATAAATCAAGGATCTAACCTATATCTTAGCCGGGAGCTCGTTTCAGCTTGCGCCTCTCCCCTTCTCGAGGAAGCATCTGGAATCAGATTTTTGCACTGAAGGGCTGCATTAGCACCAGACATTACCGTCCTCCGGGCCACATTTGTAGCAGTCCACCCTTGGTCAGACAAGTTTGATTTCTTGGTCTGCTATGGCGATGACTGTTCACTGAACAATACTGAACAGTCGTGCTCTCTGCTATGACAGCTGTTCCGGCTGATGCACCACGCAGTGGATAATACTATTTCAAGTCAAAAGCACCGCATGACCCGTGAGCTTCACTGTGCCAACGTCAACTGCAGGAAGATCACTGCTGGAGAGGTTCCGTCACCCTAGGCATTGTCAAGGCTCTGACGTTCCTTCGCACAGCACATAACAGTTTCCAGGTGGATCTTGCTGACGGAACAGAACCTGGCTGTGCCATCGTGCTGCCCAAAGTGCACGGAAGGCTGCAACTTTCCAAGCTCCAGCATTGGACAACTGCTTAGCTACTAAACATGCTGAAAATCGGAAGATGGAGGATCTAGCAAGGGCTCAAAGGCTTGCAGGCCCAAAGCCAAGCAACGCCACACAAATAGCTCAGTGAAACTCGCCAGACCAACTTGACCAGCTGGACAGTCCTGCCACAGAGTGCATGGTTCCCATCCCGTAGCAAAACTTCTGATCACATCCCCTATGCCAATGTCACAGCATAGCCTCAAAAAGTTGGACAGATTTGCGAGGAATGCTTCTAAATGCAGTTGATGTCTCCAAGCAATTGGGAAGAGGGAATCGACGCACCCAGCCTGCCAAGCTGTCTTTTGCGCAAGACGATCAATCGTTCCAGGTCGCTCCGCCTGTGGCATTGCTTCCAATAAGATGAAGCAAACCGCAAAAGCTTTCACATCGTGGTTAAGCCTCCATGTCCAGAAAGAAGTCCAACTTCCTGTCGCCAATGCCAAAAGCGAAAAACAGGGCCCTCGATGCAGCGCGGTGCCCAAAAACAATGACGTGCCTCAAGATAGAGGCAGCCTTTAAGCTGTCAGCAGATCTGCCTGTGATTTCCTTGAGAATTCTCCTGGCTGGCTGCGGCTTTTGTCTAAAGATGCGTGGGCCGCGTTTGCTGGGAAGGAAAGGTGAGAAGAATGACTGTGGATCGAGCTGTCCCATGCCTGCAGATTACCGTGGGCGAAGAAATCATAAGCCACTTTCTGTTGCTATCCTTGAATGCTTGTTGCCTACCAACCTATAATTTACCAAAGGAAGACGAACTATGCAGTCCTGTATACGAAGCGCGGAATGACAAGGAATTCGCAATCCTGCAGGCACCTGATTCCAAGACATGCGCGCCCAAATGCTCGGAGGCGAAACATGATCGGCTGACAAGCTTCGACCGCTTTGGTTTTGAGACCCTGTCATGGAAACTAAATTCCAAGATCACTTGCATCGTGCTTTGCAAGTCTGTCAGCTCTTGGCGTGACCACGTATCCCCCTTCAGATTCTATTGAACTTACTCCACCCATTATAGACTATGAAGCGGGAAGCCAGAAAACTTTTGCAAATTCAGAATTCATTGATGAAGCGGTGGAGCGTGTCCATTCATAAGGACCTCAAAGGCAATAATATTTTTTCCCCGGAAGCACCGCGAAACGCCCCTCATTAAAAAATGGCTGTCTGGCTTACACCCCAGCACTTACACCGCTCACATACACCACGGCACTTACATCGCACCACGTACACCCCTGCACCTACACCACTCACTCACCTCACAGTACTTACCCCGCTCACATACATCACAGCACCTACACCGCCCACATACACCACGTACACCGGAGAACCTACACCGCCTCTACTATATTCTATCTTATTTGTCAGCCTGGGATGGGTTTGGCGGGGGTCGGCGGGATGCGAGGATTAACACGGCAAATAGAACGTTTTTGCGCCACCCTTCTTGGCATCCGCTTCCTGACGTCACCGCTGGATCTAGAGACGGAAAATTTCATGGCACGGTGCCCATGAGGTTCTTTACTTGATGCATCAGAGCGAGCAGGAGGATTCCAGCTTCTTGCCATGAATCTCACACCGTACGCAGTGAAATGCTTCTATCAGTCTATGGCATGAATGACCGTGAGTGACATGGCAGCGTTGAAAATCAAGGGCCTTCCATGAAGTCTTCAAAGGAAACTGCTCCCACGCTGTACTGGAACGGGCCCCGCACTCGATGGTTGCTGCACGGGGTTTGTCGTTCTGTAGCGCCATTTCCCCAAAAATGGCTCCAGCACCTGATACTCCACACTCCACAGCTCTGGAAGGAGACATCATGGCATGAAACCACTGCTCGCTTGCTTCCCGTGCCTAAAGTCACAACAGTGTCGCCGAGAGCGGAGTCCTGTCAGCGAGGGCAAGACTCATTGCCAGTTGTTTGTCTGTCATTCATGTTTCCATTAACATGATAAGACACCACGTCCTGCCGACACCACGTGCTGTGACCTTCTGCAGTCTTGTAGCGAGGATTGTCTTCCTGCAAATGGCCGAATTCAGTCAGCAGGGTACTCATAGAATGCCACGCCCTTTGTTGGCTAGCAATTGAATGAATGACGTGCCGTTGGAAGAATCTGGAAGCCGTACCTGTGACCGTTTTGCAGGCCTGCTGCAGCTGCTCGTACAAAGTCATGTCCCTTTCTGCATCATCGGTCACATCAGCCTCAAATTCCATGAAGTTCTTCAGTCAGGTGCACAGGCCGCGCAATTTGGAGGTGAATGCATATGAATGGGCTGCTCCACGTGCTGATCGCAAGAACTTGGACTGTAGCACTTTGCGTCTCGAGACCACAGTGTCACGCCAGAAATGTCACGTCTGTTCAAGCCTTTTCAATTAAATCATACAAGCAAAGGCACGCATGTCTTTGCGGCACAGTGTACCAACTGCTGCCACCTCATGTGAGTTTTGGAGCCATTCCCTTAACCGCGTTGCCCACGACATTGACTGTCATACAGCAGGCCAACGAAAGGTCAGCCAGTGCTTCCACCCCCCGCGCGCAAGATCTGCCCTTCGCGCTATCAGTCAACAACAACTTATAAAGTGGGTTGGTCGCGCATTGGTTTGCTGGAAAAGAACAGGGATGCACAAAAACAACTTTTGAAGCAAGGTCTTCTCGCGTATGCCCTGCAGGCTTAGTGGTGTGAGCGGTGCTGTTGAGATTCGATGAGCGCGGCATCTTGCGGCAGAGCAGCCGTCTGGTCAATTGCTTGTCCAGCTTCGACAACGATGGCCAGAACGCTTTGCATAGACCTGGCAGGCAGGTACCACCTCATCACATGGCAGTTATTAGGATCATTTTCAAGGAGACGGCAACTTATTAAGTTCACAAAATTTCCTTGCAGCATGTTTAATGCATGTATTGACCAACATTAAAAAGAGAAGGGTGTACCAAGAGTGAGGCAGACGTTTAGATTGTTGCGGTGCCTCCGTCTCATATGCTTCACGCTGGCGTCCGTCTCGGGCTTTTTTTTGGCAGGCTTTTTTGGCGAAGCCCAGGCGAAGTACTTCCTGCGTTCTCCAACATGCTCACGTGCAACACTTGAAAAAAAGACGTTTGCACCAATGCAGCCATGATGCAGCCAACTAGCAGAACTAGCACCCTCGAGAAGTTTATCCGATCCAAGCCTGAGTTGCTGCTCCTCTTCGCCCGTGGTGGCACCTGGGCTATTGTCTGGGAGAGCCGTCCATGATACAACCAGGATTGCTGCCATAAGGGTCCAGCGCACGTCTCTGTATCCTCCCCACGTGTTCAGCGTGAAAGTCTCATACCTCAAGCGATACAAACAGAATATGTCAGTCTCACGGCTGAGTCAAATCCCGAAACAATTGTTCTCCGCTTTCCGTCGTGAGCTTCTACCGTCAATGGCATGGCAAGCCGGCCATCTTTCTCAAGCATACGCTTGCTTCTAGGATGGGCAGTTGCGTCTACCACAGGTGGATCACACACTACTTCTCAGAACGAACCGGTACTTCTTGGAGTTGATGTTGCAATTCTCCTGACTTTGATGCTGCAGTCTTTGTGCGGAGTTCATCGAGAACAAAGGAAACCAAGCATAATGTTTGTATGCTTGAATCTATTGAAAAGGTTTTAAGTTTGTCGCACGCTGAATGGGTCCTGTTCCGAGGGTAGTCCTGAGCATCTGGCCAGTACATGCGTGGCTCGTGCAACTCACGCGGGGACGGACCTGTCTTGCCCAGCATGTTGTGATTAGTCGAATAGATCAATAATAGATCTCAATGCACATGAAGAGCACGAATTGCATGGCTATTCCAGCAATGGCGACATCAATGTTACACTGGGAAAGCGATAAAATAAGCGCAATGATTGCCGGGCCCACGTCTGTCCTCCAGTGAAGTTTGGATTGCGTCAAGGAGCTGACGTTGGACATAAAGACCATCAGAGACGAATTTTATGACGACAAAATGTGAACGACTTGATTGATTGATTGATTGATTCATTGATTGATTGATTGATTGATTGATTAATTGTCTACAGGTCTGTTGCTGAACTTTCGTCTGCTGCTTGCTCTGAATCAATGCAACCAGGATTATGTAAGGTCCGCACGGACACATCAACGACGGCAGAAAAAGGAAGAGAGTAACAAACAAAAGCTGCTGCTTCACACACACACACACAAAAGCATGGAGTTTCGAGGTGGCTGGGTTTATCAACGAACGTCTACGACAAATCAGCGAGGATGGCAGACATCACTGTGACAAACGGTCGTCCTCGTCCTCATCTTTTCCGTTTGAATCTTTGAAGATCTTCACCGCAACCTCACCGCTGACGATGACCTTAAGGCTCTGCAATGCTCTTGCAGCAGTCATCATATTGCCAAGAGTGAGGCGCTTAGCAGAAATGAGCGATTTTTGCCTTTGCTTAGTTGGCATCCTCAGGCTTCCGCATAGCAATTGCCAGCCGGATCATCCTGTCGGAAGACGACCTGCTAGCAACGCAGCTGTTTTCTGACAAATAACACTCACAAGTTCCAATGGCAATGCAGGCCACTCTGGCATGAGCCATGTGGTTGTTGGCTGGCGGGTGCAGCCCAGAACTGGAAAGTACTGAATCAAAGGGCCAGCTAGAAGCGAACTGCACTGTCAGGCTGTTGGAACTTTTAGCCTGCCAAGTGTCCAAGTACAACCCCGAAACTAAACACAGCGCGCTAAAGCAGTTACACGGTGCGGAAGCTACTGCTACCATCTGGTGCCATGAAGCACTCGCACCAGCTTTGGAGAACATGGAGCCTGACCAGCGGCTTCCTTGAAGAATTGACACTTCTTGCCTTAGACTTCAGCAGATTCTGCGAGTGAGCTGCCACGAATGCCCGACGGGCCTGCTGAGCCCAAGGCTAAGCTTCCAAGTGAGCCCATTGTAAGCGGTCTGCGACAAGCACGGGGGGGAATAAGTCACCCATGGTCCGTCCACTGACACCCCAATCTCGACGCTGCTGGTGCAGCCTTTCCTCATTGCTTGCTCTCTTCGCATGCGAGCATGCCAAGTGGATTACTCACATGTCAAGCGTAGCTTTCTTCTGGTGTTCGTGAGCCTCAAGCGTCATGAAGTACGGTACCGTCCTGAGGCCAGGACGGAGCTTTTCAGCTTGCTCGCTAGCATACACACAGACCAGAAATGACCAGAAGAAAGTCGCTTGGGCAGACACTTCAGCAATTTCCAAACTCTTGCTCGTCGCTGATCACCTCTTAGCTCTTCATCATCTTCTTGTCGCGCCTTCATGCCACCTGCAGGCCCGAAGCATGAAAGCTCCCAGCACTTCTCAGCATCAACCCTCATCTGCTTGCACGCATGCAACATAACGCACATCCTATCCCGCGCGCCCGTCCTTGACAGCTTCTCAAGCTGTGTTAGCAGCAAGTGGGATGCCGGCATCGTACAGCCCAGGCTTAAAAATGCCATCGTGCAAATACTGAACACCAAGAGCAACTAAGAGATTCAGACAAGTCTAGAAAGCTGACATCACGCAGCCGCCTTCCTTGCATTTTGCCCATCTGGACTACAGCGCATTCATTCTCCAGACAATATACGTGGAGAAGTAAGTCAGGTCGCTGCCCGAGATGTTAGCCCACCTTCATCTTCTGGCTTTGGAAGCATTGCCGAATCTCAGCAGGCAGCATCATGCAACAATCTACAAGTCTCGTTTTCCATCTGTTGTCGTGCGCACTGCCGCTGACATTAACTGAGCCAGCTGCCATTGCGCACGCTATACAAGAAGTCAAGTCCTCGCATGCGACGATGCGGTTGTGTCGCATTCACCTGACAAAAATCTTGGCGCTGCAATTGCAAACACTGCATGTTCTGTTGGAAAGACACGCCTCTGGTCCTCGGCCTCTCTGCTCGAAGTCCCTGCGCAGGCTACAGTGCTGGCTGCGCAAATGATGCCAAAAAACTGTTTCTTGTTGTCATCAAGTGCATTAGCAACACTGCCTGATCACTGACCCCAAGTTTTCCAAATTGCTTCGGGCCTTAGCATCCGAGGAACACCCTTTGCTGCTTGCAAGCAAATTCGATTAGGCCAAGCATGGACACTTTCACCGAGCTATTCTGCAGTTTTCTAGCCCTGTTGTATCGAATCAATACTGCTACGCCTGATCAGGGGTAACACTTCCGCTGAGGATCTTGGAGCCGTACATGTTGAACAGCTTTCTTATCGTCACACAGTTCGATGTGACGCGGCAGCCTCCAGTTTTGACAACTTTGCAAGCCAGTGCTTGTCGTTGTTCTGAGACCGTCACGTCTGCTGCACTCGGTCGCGCCTCTGAAAGGCACTCGTCTTGAACAGACTTAAGCGCTGTAGTGCATCCTCCTGTTTGTGAAGTTTGTGTGGATCACTTGCAAACGGCTGGGACCAGGGCGAGACGATGGAAGCGCCAAAGCGCTGCGATCGCAATGGCGTCTTCCGCCTTGAATGATGGCAGAATGAAACATATGAAGACCATGAGTGCAAGGGCTTCCTCAAGCACACAAGATGTACAGGGCTGGGCTTCAAAGCCTTTCAAATGAGTCACAAAAGAAATCGAGTTGCCCGAGTTCCTGCTTCTGAGGAGACTGCGGAGGTGATGCACTCAGATATGTCTCCTTGGCTTGCAGGTATCCTCCATGTACCACAAGCCTTCCCAACACTTGGTGCCACACGGGACCTCTTTCTGAACCCCGGTCCGTAAATGTCAGCACCTGGACGCAACACTGAAGCTTCAAGATTCATGTCCAATTGCTTTGAGCTTCGCATTGCTCGGTGATGTTGAACATCACCAACGGCCATCACGCAGAAAGTGGAAAATCTCCATTCCTTTCAAGATCTAGAAACCTGCTGCCAGTTAGACATAAAGTGTTTTTTGGTGTTCTAAGTCTCTAGAGCACAGTGAGGCTGGCTTGGTGAGGATCAGATTTTAGGATACATCTGGGATTCAAATAAAGAGAGCTCCTCATGCTTCAGACGAAATGAGAGAACTTTTTGTCTTCCTGAGAAAGCAACACCTGTCCTGTAAAGTGTCGTCTTGCGCTAAGAAAAATAAAACATCAGCGGTTCCCTGAAAAAAGACAAAGGAAACTGTCCTTGTCTGGTATAGAATCATAGAAATCAGTCAAACCTTTCGGAATCTCTGAAGTTACAAGCACGTGAATTACAATGACTGCGCCTTGCTCTGAATCGGAAATGGTAAGGCAAGCCTTTCCTAACAAGAAACAAAAGAGCACAAAGGGTCATTAGTACTGCCAAACTGGGAAAGGCAAAGAATGACTTGCGCAGCGTTGTCTTGTTGAAAAGCAAATGTTGTTGTTGCTGACCAAGAATAACGACCTACTGTGGAGCTCGAGCACTTGTTTAGCTTCCAAGGCTTCTTCTGCAAGCAGCACAAGAATCTAGATCATGCGTTTTGGAAGGGGAAAACCATCTTGTACTTCTGATATGAAACTACTGGAAGTGATTTATGAGTCGCCGGAATCACACGAATAACAGAGCTTGACGTGTGTCAAGGAAGAAATGTAAGATTCTGGACTGCACCTTGCAGAGAACAGAACTCATCTTAAACTTCCTGAGTAGCAAGCCTGTGTTTGGTATCTTCACATGGCATACGTTGAGAAACGTAAACCTGACATTCTCACCCGGAGAGCTTCATATTTCTCAAAAGTGCAGGGGAGTCTCCACATATGAAAAGCCTGCAGTCCCCGGAATACTGAAAAAGTATTCAGAAGTGTCTAGTTGCTTAGATACGTGAAGACAGCGATTCTCTTGTTCATTATGAGTGTGTCCGCATCATGCATCACAAGACCGAAGTGGATCTTCATGCCTTTGCTCATGCATACATCATTTTTTAAAGGTAAACCTACCAAGGCTCCCTTCTGCCTCAAAGACTGAACTGTTATCTCACCTGAACATTTCTCAAGATGCGCGTGTACGTAAAACACGTGCATACATAAGTACGTGTGTGCATAGAAAATATTCTGGAAGCTCTTGGGCTCAAGAGTTTATAGAGACCAGACTTTTGAAGTTCTGCGGTTTTTCGGCATCGCAAAGTCTGGTGGGCCTGAAACTTTGGACCTGTTTGAGGTTCTTGCCACTGTTGTGCAGTATTTGGCAACAATCCAATTCACCAGACAGTGTCAGCCTCGAAAGATTCAAGGGCCCCCCAAATACTGTGAGAGTAAACTTAGGCAAAGGACATCCGAGTTTCTGCACGTCGTAGTCCTTCGTGGCCCGAAATGTGTGGATCTTTGTTTTCATCCATGCAGTGTTCCACAACCTTCCACATTCCAGAGTCCACCAGAATGTGGTTTTCCAGAATACCAGAATACCACAAATCATGCAAGTCTGAGTCCTTATCACCTGACATGTTTCTTGCAGTGAAGACCTGCAGCGAGCATTATCGAGCATTTTGAGAAAGGATGAGCATACTAGTTCCTCTATCCATATGGAGGATTCATGCGCGTGTGGATTGTATATCCGAAGGCTCTGCAAGCGTGCAAGTACTCTCACTTCCAACCTCCGCGTGCTCAGAGAAGATCTGAGTCTTTTCCTGGTCTGCAACACCCAGGAACAGATTTCACTTTGCAATACAGGTTCGTGCCACTGCAACTGACCACGCAACGACTTGCCACGCCAAGTCTCGGGTAGGTTTGGAAGACTCACGCTCGCTCCCAGCCGGAGATCACCTGAAGCACAGCATGCACAGCAAAACAAATGTGCAAGAAGAGGGGGGTCCACAAGCGGCTAGCGGCTAGCGCCTTCACTGGCTTCGCTCTTCGCGACGTGTCTGCAGGTGTAATACTGCTGCCTGAGCGACCTGAGTTTGATCGCATGAAGGAGCAGGCCATTGCGTGCCGCTAACCGAGCTGCGAGCGGGGTTGGCAAGCGCTGTGGCTTGGCGGTCGCATTCATGCGTCATCAGATATAAGATGGCCGTCTCCCACATCAACCCTATCTCACCCATCCATAGCATGCTCTCGGGCAAGTCCACTTTGCTTAAGTTGTTGAGTCTACTTTACTTTGCAACTGTGCAAGAGCTAAGGATAAAGGTTGGCACGTGCAAACCAGATGCAAAGCACCCCATCTGTCACCGTCAGCCCCTAACTGACCAACAACCACATGCTTCAAAATTCTGAGAAAGACGGGGCGAGCAGGATATTGAACATCATTGCTCCCGCGAATCGTAACACATGGCTGTTACTGCGGCTCGCAGTAGTCGCATGACTCAAACCCGCAAAGCCTTGCCATCTACTCTCGGCGCCTTCTTCTCCAAAGCAACCGCTTGACCCAACCGATCTTGGCGGTCCTACAGGCACCATGCCTGCTCAATGCCCAACACGAGAAACATGAAGCAGTTCGCAACGCATCTACCAAGGACGACGGTCGAAGGGTTCTTTGGCAGCACCTAGTGTGAACCTAAGCGCTGTCCGGACTAGCCATCCAGGCGCACAGGAGGCAACACAGGCGTTACCAGGCCAGCATCAACTGGACATGCCGAAAAGGTCTTGTCGAACTGTTGCCAGGCCTGATGAGCTCTGCTTGTTTGCTTGAATTTGCTTGACTTGAGTATGGCTGGGGAGGCAAAGGGTGTCGGTTCACAGCATGCTGGGATGTTGGAACATCTCACTTTGAAATGGGCGTAGCACCAGCTGCTACTCCCAGTCACTAGCCGTCTAGACGTGCGGCACTGTGCTCAGGTTTCCCTATCCTCTTGCATGATCGCCGTACTCTTTCGAGCCAATGGACCAACGGATGTGGCAGGAAGAGCGCACTATCCCATCAGGGCAGCTGGTTGGGTTGAAGCACGTGTACATCAGCCTGCATCAACAACATCAGGTACTGGAGCCGTTTAGCATAGACTCACCCGACTCTCACCCATAGAGCCGTATGGCTGGACCAGTACACTGAACAAATGTTGCCAAACCCTTTCTGATATCCGCGTCCACCTTTTGGTTGTGACATTCGCCACGTGTCTATGTGCAGTGCACGGATAGGCCTGCAATCCGGTGCCTCTCCTCACGGCCGACTAGCAGCCGTATGCAGCAATTCTGCGTGATGCGCATAATAGCCCGTGGCTTATCAGGCTCATCTCAAAATCTGAGCAGCGCAGATGCAGTGCAATCATTAGCTTCAACGTGATTCAAGTCCAAAGCAGTCCACTGCACGGCCTCTCACAACAGTTGCAGAATGTTGCAGACATGCAACTTGTCTTGCTCCAAAGGTGAAGTTCCGGCCTGTCGCTGTGCCTCAGCCACTTCGGAACTTGCCAAGGATGTGGAGCGAGCAGACAATGGCCATGAACACGAGGGAGAGCACCAGTACCTGCGATACAGGAATGGGCGTGTACGGGCGTGTGGCATTTATATTATCGAGGGTTACCAATGCCTTCAAGAATCGTCCTTGAAAAAGCGACAGGAGAGCAGGGATCATGAAGATGATTACAGCATGGCATTGTCTATGAAGTGCCACGTACCTAGAAGGAATTGACCTCTAACGGTAAGAGTTTGCAAGTGCTGCTGCGACGAAGGTGGCCATGGGAAAACACGAATGCAATGTGCACGCAGGAACTTCAGGGTCACGGTGGTTGGTCCGACCTTCAAGCCCGGAGCATCATCAGAGTAGAACTTCAAGATTCCACCTGCAGGGCGAAGGCTTCGGCCTCTGTGCGTAAGCCCCGAATGAATCAAAGACCATGTTGACCGAGCTCTCGCGGACACTTGATGTCAAGAGTTGTCTGTCTTAAAAGCTTGCTCCATTCTAGATAGACCTGCAATGTATTCAATGTATGCTTCACTCGACTGATCCTTGTCAATTTCTTGATAGCTATTATTCGGACTACGAGGAATGACTGCTTCTCCTGTAGCAGTGGGCTACATTGATGCTATTCAACCACCTGTGCAGCATATGCCGCATGCCCAAGGTATGCAGCATTCTATGCAGCACGCGAACATTCAGACAAGTTCAGACTACGCAGCTAACGCGGAGAGCCGGAGAGCCTACACATGCCGACGCAAGACTACGCGCTGCAGTCCGGAGATTACCGGGCATCTTCTGTACAAAAGGCTAACTGGCTGCACGTATCATCTTACATTCCCTAAAACTCACTCAGCTTCATGCTGGTGAGGTGGGGTGAAGATTGTGCCACAGATGCCGGCTAAATTTGTTCACCACACTCAAATGCCTCCTGCAGCTTTCCGCCCACTATTGGCACCCTGCGAAGCGCCGCCGCCGGCCCTGGAAAACGCAGAGCAAGAATTGGAGCTGTACTTGCGCATACCTTACCACAGTCTCCTTGCGTTGGAACGTCGCGCGAGAGCTGTTCTGGACTTGGTGTTTCAGAACGGTGGAAGTTGCCCCTTCAACAGCATGAGTAAGTGGGCTTTGCACAGTCTGCCGAGGCTGTCACTCCACCAACGGACGCCGCCGCCGAGCCACGCCCAGTGGATCCTCCAGTGTCTGCCATCCTGCACAATGCATCGCATGACTTGGATGTTCGGAAGCTCATGGAGCCCTGTGCAGGTCCTCGGCGATTAGAAGGCAACTTGAGTGGCTGCGTTGGGGCTCATTGTTTGAGCCAAAGCAGTTCACAAAAATGATTCCGGCTCTGGATAAGGAGCAAAATCATTCTCACGCATGACAATGACAAGGACAACAGAAAGGGCAATGGCGATGAAGACACACTTTTCCTGACTAAGTTGCTGCTGCGCTCACAGCGCTCTGCACCTCTGGCACGGGGAAGTGCTTCTCCGGACCCAGGTATACCTCGCAGCATCTCGCAGCTTTCGACGGCTCCTGCAAAACAAAGCCTGGCTACAAATCATCGTCAATTTGCCACACCGAGCAAGAAAGAATGCGCGGGAGCACTACGCGATCTAAGAGCACGCGGCAGCTCTTCTCCAATCGCAGCGCCTTCTGCTCTGGGACTACATGGAGATACTTCAGGGCGTGCTGGCACGCAGACCCGCCTCTCCCAGCAAGCGTTGGGCAGAGTGGTGGCGAGAGTCTGCAAGGAGCCGTCAAGAGCAAGTGCAAATCTGCCAGACTAGGCCCTATCTAGGTCTAGGTTGAGATGCACGAGCAGTGCAGCTGAGGCTATGGCTATTGAGGCGAAGGCAGAGTCCTGACAAAAGCCCATCCGCTGATCGACGCCAAACCTTGCAGCCGCACCGCTCACTACTAGCGGCATTAGCAGAAGCTGAATCACTTGTCATCTGCGAGAATCCTCAAGCGCCTCAGGCGCCGGCTCGAACAAAATCGCTTTCGGCCTCGGCGGAAGGTGCCTCCGAGACGCTGTCGCAGGTCGCCTCGGCCTTCGCGAACTAAACTGCCGCCTTTTACTACAAGCCTGAAACATTGAATGAAGGTTCAATGAGGCTGCAACATGAAGCACGCGGATGGCTTACTACTTACGAGAACAATATGGGGTACAACAATGTGAAGAAAACGTCCTTCTTCACAGATTCCTGATACACATGCGGAAGCGCAGGTCGGGTGGTCCATCGCGCATGCAAAATTCTAAAACTATGGAAAGCCAAGATGGTCCTCGATCCTGCCTGACATATATAGTCATATATAGTCAAATTCTGGACTTAAGTGCGAAAACTAAATGTGAGTTGACGCCGCATCCCTCAAGATTGCGAACAAGCCTCTACGACCTTCTGGAACCGCAACTGCGAGTCGACCTAGATTTGAACCCTTTTGGATAGATAGGCGTCCTTGGACGACAGATGCTTTAGCACACATACTTTTCCGGCCAAGACTAGCGTGCAGACGACACAGAGAAAGCAGGTCAACGCTGAAATCAACCCAGATGTGCTCCGGGGAGTTCAGCATTTGCACGGAACGGATTTTAGAGTAGCGGCAGGGCCTCCCGGAGCCAACCAGCGAGCAGTACAATGGCAACATGCGAAAGATGTAGGTGAACATCCTGCAAGTATACAGGCGTGCGCCCCTGCAATTTGTATCCTGCAGTCAAGGTCCTCATCGCTGGGCCAGGCCCACTTTCTGGCATTCGAAAATGCGTTTGTTTCCTGCATGCAAGGCAGAAGTCTTCTGGTGCAAGTCGCGTACTCGAGCGACGCAGGCAGGCCTGCAAGTCCGCATGCCAGGAATCCAGCTGCGCAATCATTTCTGCCTTGGGAACTTGCATGGGCAAGGCATGGACCCAGAAGCCTCCTGGTTGGAGCTTTGGAAATCTAATGTTGCGGCTCAGAAGCGTAAAAGGTCACGAGATCGGAGAGGGAGAATGAGAACGGCTTTTGCATCAAGACCTCCAAGGCCACCTGAAAAACGGCGACAATTGCAGACTTTGCACCGTCATGACCCTAGACACTAAATGATTCGCAGACCAGCGACCCAGAGGCGATGCTCGTCGATGAGCGGGCAGCCCGCAGCACCGTCACCACCTGCTCGGCATGAGATGACATGGCCTGACCCCTGAGCACTCAACAGCACGGCTTTGGTCCGCCCTTTCTCGTCTATATATCGCCCAGCTGTACGTGCAACATCCTTCCTTTGCTTGCACAATGACTTCCGAGCTTACATCAACTTTGATACAAAAAGATGACAGGCTACTGAGGTGCTGAGGTCACATACATCATTAGAGATTCAAACAACCGCTGAAGCCCGACCCCTGACCAACAGACATCCTCAGAATAGGAACCATGTGTGTGATGCCTTGCTCTTGGCCACTTCTGGGCGGCTCTATAGCGCCAACCTGCGAGCGTCCAACCAGGACAAATCGAATCTCCAGGCAGGCAGCAAGCGAAATAAAAGCTGAGAGCACGAAAGCTGCTTCTTGAACGGCAGCCCTCCGACTTCACACATTGCCTCCGCCACCCCTTCCCACCTTCCTTACACATTCAGCACCTACAGCGTACGAAAATCGCTACCCCTTCAGCACCTACATTGGTCCTTCCTAGAGGCTTGATGTCAGCACTAGACAAGGGTCCCAAATCCACAAACTTCAGGCCCTGATCCAAGACTCCCTCAAACCCTGAACCGAAACCCAAGCTTGCAATCTGAAGCTCAATACCTAAACCCTGAAATGAACAACTTTGATTTTGTAATCTTACTCCTGAGCCCCATATCCTACATCCAAACCCATGAAACAGTAATCTGAATCTTGAGATCAGAGTTCAAAAGCCGAATTAAAACCTTGAACCCTAAACTAAATTCCAAAACCTGGCTGCACAATCTAGACCCGATACCGTAATCCTAGACAGTACCCCCCTGAGTGGTGGGAATGGGGGGGTTCCCAAAACATTTGGGACATGTATGAAGGGGTCTTGGACCACTCGCACAGCAAGCCTTCAATTGGTACAGTAACGAATGCCTCCAAAAGGCCTAATTTCATGAACCCCACCACACTCACAGAAATAGACATGGGCAAGTCGAAAAACAGGGCATATTATAAGGGGAGGGGGTTATTCCTGGACCCTAATCCCTTTAAACCCCAAGTCCGAAGCCGGATAAAGTTACTAAAGCCTACTTCCTTAGCTCTGAAGCTGTAAGCCCACAACCCTAAACTCCCATCTGACAATCTAGTCTAGGGTCCTGACATGTCCTAACTGAATTTTTGTTTGGGCTTAACAGCTTGAGAGATTCGGATGTGAGGTTGAAGGTTTACTGGGGTTGGCTAGGCGCATCTTGGCTTTAGTACGATCTAAAAGATAAATGTGTCTCGCGAATTGGCGCAATCTCCAGATGCAAAGAAAACATCCTTACAAAGGAAATCGTGCTAATAGATCTCTGCTGCCATTATGGGCGCTCCACGCAAGCGTTTTGTGTGCTTAACCCCGTCTTTATAGCCTGCCAGACCGCTACGTGATGAATTCAAGGGCAATAAATTGCCGACCTGAGTCTTGCAACTAAGTTTGCTTCGCCAGAAGCGCGGCATCTTTGACAGTGCAGCTGCTGTCTTGGCTTTACGCAAATTCCCAGATGTTTGTCTTTGTTCAATCTTGTGATGGGAGTGCCATCAATGAATAAAGCCCCTAAGGCCGCTTCGGGCTGGATGATCAACCCTGTCTTGTCCAGGTTCAGTTGTAAATCGCAACGGAGGCTTCTTCTTCTACAGCTCTTAGAAATTCTTGCAGTTGTGGCAGCGGAATCGATCTTAAGTGTATCGTCCGCATACTCAAAATCATAAACAGGTTCATTTCGAGGGTGGAGATTAGTCTTGAGAATGTAAGGTTGGGGGATTTTAGGGCTTTGATCGCAGTTTAGGGTTGATCCAACCTGGTCCCAGCCCCACATCCCAGGCCCGGTTCCAAAACACGAAACACCTATCTGAGAAGCGAGTAAGTGAAAAGCAGGTGAGGATGGTGACGGGGAGGGACGAAGGGGACAGTGACCGAATGGGATTGACAAAGCGTATCCTGTAAGACAAAACTCAATTGAGCTATAGTCTAAACTCCCAGTATCCCCAAATAATCCCCATATCATGCAACTGTAGAGTGGTACCTTCACACTCTTGGCCCATTGACCAGAAACCTTCTCCTTATTCAACAGACAGTGGCAACTCAACAACGAGGTACTCTAACCAGCAAACCAGCTTGGCCCACGAACCCTCGAGGCTCCACCTTTTTACTGCAAGCGCAGAACGAAGGTATGCCTAAGCCTACGGCTTAAAGGCTACGAAAGCTTGAAGATTAGAGTAGTCATGCTCTAAGGCTGAAGAAGTCTAGCCTCGGACTACAACGTACAAGTCAAGGCTGTGGAAATCACATGTGGAATCTACCCCTTTTTAAAACCTAGGTCTGGTTTCCTAGAAGGCGGACTCAACACATCTATACACAACTGCAAAAGGGCCCCACATAAACACTTTGGAGTACACTAATTACAAGGTGCGGAGGGTGTCCTTCAACAATGACCCATTTAAGCAGTTCAGACTATAGCTCAACCCTCTACATACCCCCTTTTAAGGAGCTTAGACTACAGCTCGATTGATAATTGAACTGTTCTCCAACTTCAGCCTGGCCTTCTGCAAACCGTTCAGCCACAAACAGCTGCTGAACTCGAGAAGCGTGGCGATCTCAGGGTAAAAGTTGCATGAAGCACATGGGGGTTCTTCTAAGTTCCATTGAGAATACACTTCTCTAAAAATGATCCTAACCATGGCGATTTGGGGGACACGTATTTTGAACAACTACCACTGCCGGCTAAAACTTCAAACCGTACCCCGATAATCGTGATGAGAAGTGACTGACAGCTGCTGAGTCAACTGCTCCACGTACGTGCCAAAGCTGGTGACTGGCAGGAGCCACCTGCTGCCAGTGCACAAGCTTGAAATACCCACGGGCAATTCTCTCACCTGCCTCCCTCAACTCTTTGAGGAATGTCAAGACGCGGTCACGGAGCAGCAATGGCTTCAGCTTCCACTCCACACGATCCTCCCAAATTTGTCACAATCACGGACGCAACATACTGGCTCTTGCACCCCATGAGAAGCATCAACTATTGAAGTAGATGCTGCCACAACCTCGGGATGAACCTGCGCTGCCCAAAACCATAAGTAGCATGAACTCTTGAACTGACTGCTGCCCATACCCCAGGGAACATGAGTGCGCGGCTTGCTTGGAAACGAAGAACTGCTGTTGTGGCCGCAGTAGTAGAGGGAAGAGAAGATCTGGCGAGGCTTTCACCTGTTCAGATGAGTGCCATCCGGAAGCAGCTTTCTGGTACAGTACAACTCGCCTGCGGTCTGAGATCATGCCTAAAGCATGCTAAGCCATCCTAAACCTACAGAGTGCAGTTTCGCGCTCCGCCTTATCGCTGGGAGAGTTGTACGGGCTGTCGTTGGTTGGAAACAGCAAGCCGAGCCACCTTGCAGTTACTTGCACAATGCAGGCGCACAAGCTCTGAAAAGACAGCCCATGCAACCAAATAATGTGTGATCTGTGGAAGGTACAGCGTCGTTGCCACATCATGCGCCATTTTGACTCCTGCAAGCGGTAGGCACACAAAACTTTATTTTATCATGCACGCTACATCTCATCAAACTAAGGTCCAGCCTGAAAAGCCAGCAACACCGAGCTGCAGGTGCCAAAGACCAAACTCTCCTGCCACCTGGCAGAAAAGAATGCTCTATGTTGTAATTATATCATGGCGCTGGGTCTCCTTCCTCCGGACACCCTCCGATCCTGCCGTGCCCGAGTCAGCTCCCTGCAGGCCTCGTAAAGTTCTCTGGCGCTGCGCAGATGCTGCAAGTCAAGGCAGCGCTTCTTCGCAGCTTCTCGCCACCTGAGCAACCAGGTGGGTCTTTGGTGGGGTCGTTCAAAATTGCGTGCTTAAGGCTTAAGGCTGAGGGTTCGCAATGTTTCAGCATGTTTCAGGAATTCGCGTTCGAGGCCGTATTTTCGTCGCTCGACTGACGCTGCGCCCGGCCTGGCATCTTGCCTCTCGTCCCCGGCGATGAACTGCAGCTCCTGGACACCATGGAGAAAATGGGATGAGGTTCCAAGCAATCTCTTTAGCAATGACTTACAAGCAAAGCACTCAAGGCGTCAACCGCAGCTCTTCGGACCGACTGTCTGGTTGAAATGTCAGGAAGTTCGAGAGAACCCCTTAAAGAGCGGTGCAGAGGTCCTGGAGCAAGGGGTATTGGAGCTTCTCAGCCTCAAGCGGAAGCTTGAGGATAGACAGCAGGGAAAAAAGCCGCGTTCTCCATGGGCAACTTGCACTGGGCTCCCTGCAGCCGCCAAGCGCAGCGCAAGCTCTTCTTGCATAGAAGCAGAGCTAACCTTTTTCTTCTGTTCCTGCCGACATGGGAGGAGGATAGCACAAAGAAGACAGGCAGGTGCACATAGCTGTGCACATAAAATTCAGCTGTTCCCTCGCGTCCTGCGCCAGCTGCAGGTATCTGATGCGATCTTTCAAGCTGTAGAACTGCAGACAGCAAGCCACACATCAGGTATCTCTTCACGCTGTTCTCGCACGCTGGCCTGCTCTGGAGCCTCCACCAGGCGCTGCAGCTGCGCCCAGGCCGGTCTCTCGTGGCCCTGGCGCTGGAAGTACCTAAAGCACTGGAAGGCCAGAAGTCACAACTGGGATTTTGGTACCGTAATATGAGCAGGGCCTCCACAGCAGCTCCGACGCCACACGGCTGTTCGCAGACCGCCGCTGAAGTAAAGCCTCACACGCTGTCGGAAACAGTTGAAACATGAAAGCTTGAGTCCAAGCAGAACAGACATACTTGCGACCTTGACATTGGCGGCGTCTGTGCCCAGCACCGCCTCCAAGAGGCTGTGCAGCCGTGGCACGCTCAACCTGATAGATCCAAATTCAAACAAGAGTTCGGAAAATTTCGCCGTCGGGCTTCTGAGCACAGCGCAGGTGATCGAACGCCATGTGATGGAATAGGGGCTGACAAATGAGTCAGAGTGACCGGCTCACTTGCTTCAGCTCCATGTTACTTGTACCAGCCTCCTTCTCGTACCCTGGCAAACCGCAGGCAACTGAGCGAGTCCTGGCAGAGCAAATCCAGAGCAAGTTGGAGATCCTGGGGTTGAGCCCAGAGCGCTGATTGCCACGGAGAGGGGGCAGGGCGCTGAATGCAGGGAAGGCATGACACTTTACAATGGATATACCAACAGGCAACTGTTTGTTTTACCTGTCAGATTTCTGTTCTTGTGTGGCCATTCGCAGTAGGCTGACGCGTCCTCCTGAGGAAGGTCTCCAGTGCTGAAGCAGCCTTTTCAGGCTTCTCCAGGCCTTATGCTCAACAACATGGTTCTCAGGGCTATGAGAGAGGTCAGGAATGGGCAACCAAGGAGCTCATGGAGTCGAGCAGTGACGAAATAAGATCACGACAGCGCTCACCCATTTCCTTGTCCAGTCAAGTTTGGCTTAGCATTGCAGGCTTCTGTTGAGCGCAGGACTGCCCACGTTGACTCCGCCAGCTTGCACAGGCGCTCTGCACACAGCTCTGCAGCCATGCACGGATCCTGGCTCTCGCACGTGAGCGACGACTTTTATTCGTGGCCTGGGCCTTAATCATGCATAATCATGCAGTATGTTGAATCCACGGCCCCTCATTTCATTCGCCTTGTTTGATCTTTGCGCTTACAATTGCTTGATCTCCTTCGCCATGTTGAAATACGTGCTGGGCTCTTACTGCAAAAGAAACTAACTGTGGCCTATCTCGAGCACCTATCTAGCTTCCAGAGAATTGCTGAATCGAAATGCAAAAATACCGTTCTACCCTCTTACGAAAAAACAAATGCGGCTGCTCATGTGAAAAGACGAAGTGACCAAGCATTGCGGCGCTTTTCAGGTTGCATCGAACCCAAGGGCCTCTGATGCTATAGATCGAATGCCCCTGCAAAGGAGCTGCCACTGCGAAGCAGATGTCGCAGGAGTTCCCGCTGGCAAGGAGCTCGCGTACCTTCCGGCTACTTTAGCTTCACCCCGTGGCTTGACTTGCAGCTGTTTGCAGGTTGGGCTGCTCCCAAACTATGCATCTGCGGAACCGGGCTGTACTGGTGACAAATCAGTGCACAACTTGCACTAAAACACCAGCAGAGGCTATGCAGGCTATGCCAGATTGCCTTCGCAGCACGCATGTTGCTTGCCCAGCGACCGGAGGCCTGGACCCAACCCCGCTGCAAACTCGCTGCAAATCCATTCGAGCGCTTGCGTTGTTGGGATTGCATGCAGAATTTCGACATAGACACGACACGCTAATGCTGCGGGCGGAGCCAAGAAACTTGCCCACACATAGTCATCAGAAATCCAACAAGATAGGCCATGCAGCCACCTTGCCTGACCTTCCCTCTTCCCATATTTAGAGAAAGCGACAAGTGAGGCATGCTCCCATCCTGCGCTTCCGCTCCAGAGGCTCTTGAGCATGCAGTGCTGCTGTTTGAGGTCACGAGTTTGGTACTGTGCAACTCAAGTCTACCGGAGAGCGGCAAGTTTGCACTGAAAGGTACAATGCAGGTGCTCTTACATGGCCTGCATCTAGACTCCAGAAAGCGGTTTATGGCACCATCGGGAAGTTTCAGCTCCTGAAAACCGAGAATTTTGTGAAATTCAACTGAGGTTGCAGCTGCTTCAGCTGCTCGGTGTCAGACTTCAAGCATCTCTTGAGCTCGACCTTCCATCAGACAAACTGGTGACCACGCTTTGGAGCAATGACATGCAACGGGTACAAATGACACAAAACCATTGGCCTGGGAGAAAATTGCTGGACAGCAGTCCTCCAGCAACAGCGCACTTAGCCGCTGAGTATGAAACTCTGAGCGCCAACACATGCGACCTCAAAGTATGCACTGCCAGGAAGGCATTTTCAGTATCCGCTCGCCGTTGTACTTGTGATCTGCGTGTCTCCGAGCACAGCACGGCATGCATAGCTCAGCACTGGAAGAACAACTGGCTCGGCATTGGACAGGCGGTTAGGGCCACTGCTAGGACTAGGATGCTCTGCGTGTTTTCTTGTTCCCCTAGGTCTCGCTTCTCGTGGCCGCTTGTCTACGATGAGTTGCGTCAGCAGCTTCACGTCACCTTCCAAGTGAGGACCAAAAGCCGAGCTGTACGCGGCTTCCGCTAGCTCTTCACGACCGTTCCCCTCTCAACGAAGTTTGCAGGCCATTGGACGCCTATACGAGTGGCCTCCTCGAGCAAATCTACCAGAAAGTGCGAGGCATCAGTCCTCACCTGACCTACTTGCTGCTTGGACAGTTGATGAGTCGCTGAGACGCGCAATCGTATGCCCTGGCTTGGAAAAGCCTCCATGCCGACAACCACTGGAGCTCCGGGTTGGCTTGTCGGAAACACTCCCACTGTTACTTGCTCTTGCCAGGTTTCTGGATGTGCCATTGCATACCGTCGAGCTGCTGCCGTAATTGCTTTAATGTTCTGCTTGGTAGCAGATTGCGGTGGGATTAAAAGTTCGATGGCCGCACACGCTCTTCCAGATCTGCGAATGTTGAGGATACCTTCGCAATCGGCGTACAAGACAGAGTTGCGAATGTAGATCTCCTGTCCACACACATGAGGCCGCTCCAAAAATTGGGAGCACTCTTGGCAACCCCATGCAACACGCTCTACAGTAAGTGCGCAAGCTACATTCTCTAAAACTAGACCATGCTTGATGTGTAATGGACATTGCTGTATGCACAGATGTAGAACAGGAAGCACCCACCTCATCGCAAAGATCTCGAAACACTGTGTTCAGCAATTTGATCTGCTGCACTTGCAGATAATTGCCACGGAAGATAATCAGGTCACCAGTGTCAAAGGGGTTGACGTGTAGCAATAGCACGAGCGACTGCAAAATGTCAAGCAGAACAGGGCCCCATGCAAAGGAGACTGCTAGGAGCACCTCAGCTGGCCGGGACAAATGCGATGCACTGCATCTCACCGCACTTTGCATCTTCTTTCGCCAGGCCGCAGAAGAGACGAGCCACGAAAGCGTATGCAGCACAGTCATGGGAGCAAAGCGCCCCAATGCAGCGACCATCAGAATGGACAGGCGAAGCAGGCTGAGCACACTGCAGAAAAGCCTTTCAGAGTGAAAGAGTTGGGATGAACAAACCGAGCAGCGAGAGTAACTTAGTACGTTGAAGCTGGGTCGCGCGAACACGGCCGAGTGCTCCCCCACTGTGGCCACCAGTCTTGCAGATTCTTTATAGGTGGACACTGCCAGCTGAACAAACGCATCCTGGCGCACATTTATTGTGTCAGCTGTGTGAAGTCATTTGCAAACCAAAAACTCTGCAGCCAACGTAATCCGAGATGTTGCGGGCAAGGTTCAACCCCGACCGTCTGATCAACATGTCCAAAGGACTTCGTCTTCTTCAGCTTCTTGCTGCGGGCTTTTGGTAATGGCCCGGAGCCCTCCTTGGCAACGAAAGCTTCACTCGAGGCAAGCAGCATCTACCACAAGCTGAAGGGCTGCTCGACAGAGGATAGGAGCCCAGGCACGGAGCCATCCAGTGGAAGTGAGTTGGACCTTTCCATGACCAGCTTGCTCTCTTTCTTCACGGCCTCATCTGTGACACAGGAAGCAAGAGGCGGGACATGGCACAAGAAAGGACGGATGCAGCCGATCTTCGTATGAGCTACAGTCAACACCTTGTAGTTAATGGACCTGGATCCTTATTAGAGAATATGTTATGGGCTATACTAAGCTGGCAAGTAGATCATAGATCCCCCATCCCTTGGTAAGCCTACTAGCGACAGTAGCTTATATTGAGCCTGTCGTGCCGAAACATGTCCAGATCTACTGGACGGCTCTTGCAGTCAGGATACGGAACCCTCCTCGTCAAGCGCTAGCAGCAATGCCCAAAAACGATCTGTCTCCTCAGTTGCCATTCTGGCACAATGAATCACTTTACTGCAACTCTCTGATGGGGATGGTATGCACGACACTACCATGCCAATTCCCAGTAGGATTCCAAGTTGAGTCTCAGAAAACAATGCAGCCATGTTGTCACAACATCCCGATGTTTGAACTGCAAAAAAGTAGCAATTACATTCTCGACCACGGTAAGCAGCCTCTGCTCAGCCACCAATGGCATTTGTCATAAGTGCATTCCGTGACAACAACACCATGCCAGCTAATTCAGCTAGTTGCCCAGTACAGTCTACTCAGTCCACACAAAACGACAAGCAAGCAATAACCTCCCAGCATGCCAAAATTGGGAGACGTTTCTTTGCCAAGGCACTTATCATAGCTGATACGCCCATGAGGTACTAGTTGTCGGTACAATGCTCGCGCTCCAGCCGCCACCTGCCTGAGCTTGTGCTACATGACAGCCTCAAGACACAAGAAATGTCTGCTTTCACAAAATTCCACATGCTTCTACAGATGTTCACTTATGTTCACATGAGCGTTTTCACATTTATCTCTCATGCCCCCCATCGTTTAGCCTCCAGCCAAGCAGCTCCAGCTCCAGCACCAGTCCATCCAACTTGAAAAAATCCTGTGAACCTGAGGCGAAGGAGTTTTCGTATTCACTCAACCAATTCATTCAATACAGCCCAGTCACTCGCACCACTACCCTGGCGCTCAAACTCATCACTCTCCTCTTCATCACTGTCCTGGCATGGTGGGCTAGTTTGGGATTGCCACCAAACTTGGCCGGTACTCCTCCGCGTCGCTCTTCTCTGCCAAGGAGGCCAAACTCATCCAGAGCTCAGAGCCTGCTCTCAGCTCTATGTAATATTCAGCAGACCAGATAACCAGCCGAAGTAGACTGCAAATACGTAGGATGTTTGTCGCATGGCCGAATGACGGAACCCATCCAGGGCAGCTTTGTGGTGGTGTGTTCCAGCAGCCGCTTTTACACCCAGCCTGGACTTCCAGAAGCAATCAGTTCTGCGCAAGCGCGCTCGAAGGCCAGTGGCACGGAGTCGTCTAAATCCAGTAAAGACTTTTCCAGGTCGGGCTTCTGACAGGCAAGAATAGTCAGAACAGCTGGACTGGCTTCACTTGCACTTGACTAGAGATGCATGCGCCTCGTCATTGCTTTTCTTCTCCAGGGAGCCCCTGAACCAACACTGTTGCATCAGGCGTGTCTAGACTGTATGGTACAAAAGTGAGGCTTCTGTGACTGCTGCACCCGGCGGTGCTGCCTTTTCCCTCTGTTACTCTCACTCCGCCGCCACCATTCCCAATGCGGCGAAAGTTCTTACATCAATTAAGACAACTTCGGCAAGCTCCAGAATCACCTGTCCCCTTCTAAAAGCTCATGAAAGAAGGCTTTAGAGATCTCTCAAGCAACCTCCCGCCTCAGAACCGATAGCACTCGCCGCTCGCGCGTGTTCTGCCAGAGCTCTGCACGTTGAGTTGTGAGAATCCGGCTGCTGTACCTTGCTGCTCTGCTTCTTGTTGCGCCCTCTGCCACCATTTTGGTTTTATCACGTTCCCAAAATTAAACACCATCATCATAGACGCGTATTTCTGAGAATGCCAAGAGGAGGACTTTTGATTGGGCAGGAGGAACTTCTTTTGCCGGGAGTCACCTGGGGGTCTAGATCCAGGATTTCTCAAAGCTCAGGAGGAAGAGCTTATCGAGCTAGAGTAGCCATAGCAATACTGATGAGAACAGTCCCTGTGTTTGACAGGAGTCTCAACAACGTGTCTGATAGATTCTCTCTCCACCTATAATCAGAGGCACACCCAAGGCGATATAGACCCAGTTGACACAGCGACATTGGATACAAAATCCTACATACGAATACATTGACTTATATGAAAATCGAGTTTAACACTCGAAGATTCCCCTCCAGAGCACAGGAGCTCAGCAGCCGTCTCGCCACTGCGCAGCAGGCGGGCCAAAAGTAGCAGCAGGGAAGCATCCCGTAGTGCTGGAACCCAGCACTGCCAGAGACCCCTCAGGCGGCTTCCATGTCAAGGGATTGCTAAATCCTTGCCAACTGTTGGTTGCACTTTGCTGAAAGGCCCAGAGCTTCAGAGAATTACATGCCTCAGGTCGGAAGCCTGCAAAGAGAAATTTGGATCCCCCTGTTTTGCACACTGCGGAGGACAAGGCACTGGGACCCAAAAGGCCAGGCAACTATGATTGCAAAGCCCTTGCGTCTTTGCAGTGGCTACTCCGCCCAGAGCACCACACAAGGGTTCCAGTGTTGGTGACTGCACCCTCTGTGCAAACATCTCGGTGTGCCAAGAGGCTGACACTCTTCGCTGCTCCCTTGGCGATTGTACGCTCAGAGACAAACCATCAAGACAAGTCAATAACTGCCCTAGTGAAGAAGCCAGCAAAGCCAGAAACTAAGTGCTTTAACGTTTGTCCCTCCATTTTGTGCAAGTGACAGCTGTGCCAGTGCTCGATTGCTAGGAAGAGGACTGCGGCCATGGGCCCTCCAAACCCCTCCACTGCAGACCTCAGGGAAACTGCCGACAATTAAGGTGCACATTTCTTGCAGGAAGCTCCAAATGCAAAGGCTGTCATGGAACAAAGGCGGAACCATCGACCTACGATGAGGAACTCCGAAACGCGTTACGCGACAAATCCTCTGAGACACGTGTCTGGGCCGATCATCTATCAAATGCAGCTTGCTGCATCTAGCTCCTCCACCAACATAATACCTTGACAACCTTTGTAAAGCAAGGCAAGCGTTCAAAATCTCTGCCGCGATCATCAAGTGGCACAGCAGAGCTTGAAAACAAGCTGGCTTCTAACACTTCATGTGAATGGACCCTTCGTTCGATGGATCTTGGATGGATCACGCTTGAGAGCAAGAAATTCAAGAAGGCATCACCCCATCCTGCGGAGCATGGCCTCAACGCAGATAGCGTTGCAAATGCAGTACCATCAGCAGCTGCAGGAATCGGCAGACGCTTCCAGTTCTGGGCAACGAAGTTGCCGCTTCGCCGGCCCACATGCCAAAAAACGCAAAGCAGAAGGCCGCCCAGCATAGAGTCCTCAGATGTTTCGGCAAGCCATCGCAAGGCACCCAAATCGCCTTCCGCCTCTGTGTTTCCGAAAGTGGCCTGATCTTCTGCCTGCCAAGTCTCCCACATGGTACCGTCTCGTTTCCGCACCACAAGCAAGGAAAAAGTTGCCACCAGGAGCGCAATCAATCGGAAATAAGCCTGACATGTTCAGGTCATGCCGAAGCATGACGTCGCGCTAGATGCAGACTCATGAAGGGATTTTGAGGCTACGGTTTCAGTTCAGGTTGGGGATGTTTTGCCATTTGTAGGTTTAAGGGTTCGGGGTTGTTTACAGTTTAGGGCCTGGGGGGGCACAGGCACTTCTGAATGGGTCCGCGTTCGGGATCTTTCAGGATTTAGGGTTCGGGGTGACTTTGGGTTGCTCAGGGTTTAGGATTTGGGATCGGTTCAGGATGTTTCAACGTTGAGGGCTTTTTCGGTCTTGGGGTTGCTTAGGATTGAGGGTTAAGGGCTGTTTTGGGCTTGGGGTTGCTGAGAGAGATTCAGAGTCTAGGGTCTGGGGTTATGTAGGGTCACGGCTTGGGGTTGCTGAGGGATCGTTAGGGTTAGGGAGTTTCAGAGTTTGGGGCTTGGGGTTTTACGATTGAGCATTTGGGGCTGCTTATTCAGACTTGGGAGCTAGGGCTTGAGGCTGTTTAGGGTTTGGGGCTGCTTAAATTTTAGGGTCTGGGTTTGCTTAGGGAGGGGCTTTCGGTTGTTCAGGTGGGATTGTTTGGGGTTGAGGGTTTGGGCTGGCTTAGGGATGTTCAGGACTTAGGGTAGTTGGGATAGTTTATTTGTGATTGTTCAAGTTTTGAGTTGTTTCAGCTCTGGCCCCTATGAGCAAAATCCTGCCGTTGGAATGCCGTCCACAGGGCTCTAGCACGCATGCCTTAATCAAGCTGCAAAAGAACGATGTTTGAGCCGCCGAGGGTTAGGAATGCCCCCTGAAACGTATCCAATTGTTCATCGGAAAATTTCTTGGCCATCGGATGCCTCAAGCACTGGCCCTGTCAATGAATTCCTGCTCTGGAATACGGTCCAGGCCACCATAGTAGCAAGCAGGCCACCACATTTTAAGTACCCTCTCTCAGCCGGTTCGTCGTTGAGGGTTGGGGAGAGGACGAGCCAAGAAACTCACATTGAGGAAGTACTGCGAGAGACATGAAAGTGCAACTAAGGAGCCTCCAATGCACTGTCGGCTATACCTGCCGTGTCTCAAGTGCCAGGCGATCCGTTTGCATTGATCTGAGAGCCGACAAGGTGCGAGCGCCGCCCTCTTCCTTTCGAGCAGGTGCAAGTTCCGCCAGCAGCTGCCTTACCATTCGACAGAAAGGCAAAAGGGCGGAGCTCTACATCTGATGGTGCCAAGACACAGCACCGGCCGCTTGTCAAACTGGCGCTTTGAGTTGCGGCCTGGAGGGCCGGAAAGCACGAACTTAAACGAACTGAAGCGTTTTGAAGTTCGGGGTAATTAGAGATCTCTTACAGCGAGGCCTTGGCTGCGAGGTGCTGGCGACCGCGGACTGCTAGCAGTGCCGGCAACCGTCCGGCGCGCATGGTTCAGCCTGTCAAATCTGTCACTCCTTTCTGGCATTCTCTCAAAGTCTCTGGATTGAAGAGTTAGCGCAACGAAGACTTCAAGATTCCTGAAGGCGGACAAGTATTGTTTTGCATCCGCAGGTTTCGCACTAACTCAGGCCTCTTTGAGGCGCTAGATGTCATTCGGGACATACAGCGGTGCATGTTGGTTTACCCCAGCGCGGAGGCTTGAGGCCTTTGAAAAAAACATGCTTCCATCACCCAGTGTACGTGCTATGCAGATGAGATATGGTGGCTGTGTCAAGTGGCAGCTTTAAGTCGGAAGTCATGCTGCAAAGTCCTTGCCTCATCTGTGCAAAGCTGCATCGTCGCTGCTGCAGCTCTGCGTGATCCGCCATTTCTGGCCTAAGCAGGTTAGCTTCATGTGACATTGACATACTTGAGAACTTGCTTGCTGCAGAGCATCCGCATCTGGCGAATACAAGAAGGCCAAGAACTTGGACTCTGCAAGTGGAGCTCTCTACTTGGCCGTCCAAGCCGAGACAGCTCTCAGGTGCTCAGTTTTCAAGACCTTGAAGCCAACTGTTTGGCAGCAGCGCAAGAAAGTCCGTCCTGCAACTCCTTGCAAATCCCGTCTGCTTCTGGACCATGTGGAAGCCCTAGGGTTACACCATCACGTCCGAGAAATCTCCAATCAATAGATTTGAAGAGTTCACAGAACGGAAGCTAATAAAATAATCAAGCAATGCCTGGCTTGTAAGCTATGTAAACTATATACTCGACACAAGGATCTTTGCAGCAGCAACGGGATTGCCACATCAGGCCTTCCACCTCTGCAAATCCACGAGCGTGCCCATGGACAACCTGCACGGATACAGCCCGAAGTTAGACCAAATCTCAGCCAAGCATACCTCCACAAACTTGATATGAAAACAATGACCCAGCGCAGCATGCGCATCGCACTTTGCCTGAAGGATGAGAGCCGTGCACAGCTGAACCTCTAGTGCTCTTTTGGCTTCATCAAGCTCCATCGTCAACCAAATTAATACGCCCGGAATTCTAAGCTCAGGACAGCAGGCCAGAGTGCTTGTGGTGACACCACCAGGTCTCGCAATGATCGAGTCAGCAGTATGGATGCTGCAGTCATCGGCAAGACCTTCAAAGAAGTGTATCGGATGAAAGTCCAACATGACACTGGCATACACACCAGAATAGTCAAAGTGGTAACGGCCTCAGCAGCCCCTGCTGCGGACCTGCAACAGACAATGGGCAGAAAAAATGTTCAATGCAAGGGCTAGCAAAAGAGGGCTTCTCATGAGCACTCATGAATGATTCCAGCGCACACAGGACTCTCGCCGCACCCGGTAGCGCTGGCCGTTGACTCCGTCTCTTGCAATTGAGTGCTTGCAAGCACAGCTTGCACACCTGAGAGACCAACTGATCTGTCACTGGACAGATAAGACAGCCAAGCACTGCTCATCTGTCGCTGAGTCAGGCACATCCGGATCTCTGCAGGATTGTAATCAAGCCCAGCACTTGCCGGGTCCGATCCATCACGTCCAAGAGTTCCAGCATGGCCCTGCAAGCGATGCGTGTCGCGCCCACATTTCTGCGTCAGCAACGAGCTGGCAAGTGAATGTTCTGTTGGGTCCCAGCCTTTTGACACGGGAGCTTGCCGAGTCACCAAGCGGCGGCACAGATGAAGCCTAAGAAATGTATGCCTCCTCTCCTACTTCCTTGTGCAGGGCAGTCAATGACTGCAACTCCGCCGGGCCCCGTGCTTCGGTACGCTGCACATAAAGCTGAGCTCGCGTAGCTGCAGAGCACGGCGTACCAAGTGGTACCTTACTATACATCAAACAGCAGCTTTGCAAAAATGGCTGCGCTTATCGTTGCCTGCCTGCTCGTTGGCGTTACGCGAAAGTCCCTACAAGGGCCAGATAGATTTAAGACAGACACATTGTAGTTGCATCGACCATCCGTGCAAAGCCAGAGACCCAAACTTGCCTTCGACACGAAGCGAAGAACAGGGTCAAGCTGCGAGGAGATCTTTTTAGCAGCCATTTCACCTTAACTCAATGTTCTTTACGAAGATCAAGGGGGCACGCACGGAGCTGCCACCATTCACTGCAAGAACTCAGAGCAGACAGGGGCCCGGGGCCCGAGCTGATTGCAACGACTGGGCCAGAAGAGCACCTACAAGCAGCGCAATGTCATGGTGCAATGTCGTCCTTCTTGTTTTGACATCTCGTACGGATTGCCATAGGATACCTCAACAAGCTTGACAAAGGCGACAGATTCACAAACAGGGCCAGTCCTTCGTCTCTTGCGGCACATGCTGCCAAGCGAGGACACGTCAACTGCATTGGCCTTGGCCCATGCAGCCACGTTAGGACGTGTGCTGATGCCCGTGGGTTGGCATTGCTTACACCTCCAAGCCCGCAGCGGGCTCCACAAGCAGCGGTCGAGTCCACACTGCTCGCAATTTCTCCGACAGGAATCGCAGGAAACCAGAAGACCAGCGACCTAACAGTTCCCAACCGATCTCATAGCCTTCACAGGACCCGAAACAAAATGAAACAAAACAGCCCTGCAAAGCCGCGCACCCAAGATCATCTTTGGAACCTTACAGCTGCCCGTGTTTCTGCGTGACCAGAGTGCCGCTCAAGCTGGGAGAGACGGGACGCGGTCGAATGCTAGATATACCACCGGCATCTGCACTTTGCTATGCTGAGACTCTTGCTGCCTGGTTGAGAAGTTGTGCGCGTCTTTGTTCCTCAAAGCTCGGAAACCGGGCATCGTCCAGGCTCCAACACCAATCCTGTCAGCCGACGTGGCCAGACTCAAATCTATGCATTTAGGAACCACCAGAAACAAACCCAGCGAGTAGACTTCAGTGAACGCGCTGAGAACGGCACGTACTCGACCCGGCTGCCTGCAGGAAGCTGCCGGCAACAAAAAAAAAAAACGGGTCTATGAATACGATGGTATGGTATAAAATGAAGCGTGCTTAACTTGAGAGCCGTGATATAAGCAGGTGCCTGATGGCGCACCGGAGGACAGCGACTGCAGAAAGATGCAGCACTCCGCTGCGTCCTGCGGAGCCCGCTTTGCGGCGAAGGCCTGTCGGCGGTCCACACGCTTCCACCAAGGCGTACAAGCACTGAGCTGACGCAGCCTGGTGTGTGATTGTCACCGTCTGCACGCGATCTGCCAGAAGGATCGCAAACTTGTGGCCTCAACAACTGCAGCAATGACAGTAAAGATGCTTTCTGCAAGCAGGCCCAAGACTTCCCGCAATGTAGCTACCTGCTATTCTCCTGCTCGTCCTCAGCACCCCGCAGTTGGATTGCGTCTGCTCTTGCGCAATGGCAAGCACCGGAGCATCGAAACTCAGCTTGCCCTGGCCAGATGGACATCAAGCAGCAATTTCAGCAACAAATGCACCAAACCCTTGTGAAATCGCCTACCGGCCACCAGCCTGGTTTTCAGAGCGGAGACTAGGACGCGTTTGTTCTGTTGAGGCTCTTCAGTTGAACGCTGTAGTCAAGGAGCACCAGTCATTCAGAGAACAAGGAGGAGCAAGGGATCCATCCGGTCTTCCAGCCCTGCTTCCCTTCCACAAATTCTGGGGATGAAACATGCAATTCCTCGCAACATGTATGCAACTTGGATGCAGTAGTTACCACTTGACATCTGAAAGAATGCTTCACTGAAAAGCTCGAAACTGGCAACTCTTGAATTAACGAACTCAACTTTAAGATAAATAGCACAGTAAGCTTACTCATTCATGGTTTTTCATCGGGGCTCTAGAGCTGGCCTGCATCTCCACTGCCTGGCCGGAACCTAAGCTGACTGTACTTTTGGTTTTCTGTCACAGAGCTGCGAGCTTATGTCACGGACTCACAGGCTCAAAGCGATCGTGCGGTAGGCCGTTCAAGCGCACTGACCTGTTGGCATTGCATCAGCGCTGCAAATACTACAACTGCACGACTGATTTCAGGAGCACGCCGCTAAGAGCGCAGCACTGCCAGATCTGATGCCGATGCACCGGCACGTCGCAAGGCTGCACACAGCCAAATAGACCCCAGAGTGGATGCACCTTGGGATGCAAGTGACAGTGCCAGTGTGCCAAATCTGCTGGAAGCACTTTTAACTTTCTGCAGGGCAAGGCTCTGGGACCGTCAGCTCCAGGTACAAAGCAGCATGGATCTAGATGCTCCTGGAGCCCGCGTGCTTCCATCAGGCAACCACCATGGTACCACGATTTAAGTCCCTGATCTAGACGTCCTCCAGGCAGGACATTCGTGCACTTCGTGTCTCAGAGCTTGGTCGCGAGGAAGACCAGGAGCTTGCAAGGTGCTGAAGCCTGCCAACTTCATGCAATCAGGAAAATACCTAGATCCCCACAAGCTGTCTCAGGCTTCCACCAGAAGCCGTATTTGCACGCTCCTTGTTCAGGATTTCGGATGTCAACTACAGTGGGCATCAAGACGTTCAAGACTTGCGTGTGGCCTGTGGTAGGGTCTGTGACAGAGCAGACCTGGGCTGAAGTGGTTCACCGGAAATTGCAATGCAGCCTCTGCTTCAGGCCCTGCATGATCACAAGCAACCAGCTAGTGAATAATGCGGAGAATGTGTGCAGCAGCCGAACAGTCACGCTAGCAGCCAGCTTCCAAAGCACTCCCACTGCTGACGGCATGAGCTTCACGCAGGGCAGTGCGGCGTGTTCGCCGTTGAGAGAGGCCCTTGAAGCTGACGAGTGAGGTGGCCCAATATCCCGGGTCATGGTGGCCGTCAAGGTTGCAGTGATGATGTGTATGTTAGAAGCTGAAGGCCGGCATGAAGTTTTGCGTCTTGCGCAGCTTGGCTGGAAGCACGGACCACGAGAAGGAGCCGATTCTGATGCACTTAGTGCTGGGAAGTGTTGGCATCGCTCGGCTGACAGACTTCCGGTGCCACCTGGATCATCCGATCACAAGGCGAGTATCCGAGTATCCTCAGTCTTACAGCCAGCCTTCTTCCGGTGCAGCCAACACTCTTGATGGAAAGATCACAATGTCAAAAAATCTCCGCTATTGCGCTGAGCTCCATGAATTTTGGCTAGCATATGGTCGATCTGACCTAAAATGTTGCTCGTTGGGTCAAGCTGGCCCATGTCCATCTGTCTGCAGACAGGCTGCACAGATGATCTAAGATCTCAGGAGGAGGCATCGAACGGATACACAAACTGATCTGGAACGCACATGAGCCGCATGACATGTGCTCCTATCCTACGCCAACTTCATCCCAATCCTCTTGCAAGCAACCCTAACACCTAACACCTACAAGCTGAGTCTGCAGCAAAGTGAAGTCGCTCTCCGGCAAGTGTTGTGGCATCCAGCAGAAGCTGGCCGTTCGAGCCTGGTGCTGGAACTCACTCTACCCCATGAGGATTGCCTACAAGCAGCTGCTGCAGTGTGCCCACAACATCTTCTGAGGCCAGCGGCCCATCCAGCACACTAAGTGAGTCATGGTGCCAGAAGCCAGAGTGCCTACCCAGTGGTTAGGTCTAAGTTTGGATGTGTTTGGGGCCCATCTTCAAAACGACCTCTCTCGCTTGATGGAGTTGTGGCTGGCTCGCTGGCTGAAGGAGACTGCTGTACATGCCAAGTGTTTTGTTCTCCTTTTCTCTGACTACAGATTTGTGGGCAAAGCGGCTCCATCTCTCTCTTGGAGTTTCCCTTGCCCTTCTTGCCTAGCTATGTGCGCAGAGAGCACTTGGCATCGCAGGCAAGAGAGTCCCGTTTTTGTTGTATGTTTTCTTGATTTCCTCGCAAGTTGATGTCGCGCCAAAGGCGCCTTTTAATCTTATCTTTCAGCGCTGGGCACTTAGATAGCAAATTGTCCAGCAGGAGGAAACAGCAACCCAGGCTTTGGAGGCCTGCTTGAGGTCTAGGCTATGGCTTTGTTTTGTAGTTCGTTCATGTTTTCTGACCACGTCAACGGGCATGACTCAGGACCGATGCAGGGAGTTAGACCCGACGCCGATGGTGCTGACCCACCATTTCAGTCGCGTCAGAGATTGAGATGCGGAAGCTTTTTGGAAGCTTCTTCGGGGGAGACGTTGAGGGGGAATTTTGCCCACTGTAATCTATGGATGAAATGCCAGAAACCAGAGACCCAAGAATTTGTCAAAGAGAGTAGAAAGGGACCCCTGGGATGAATCAAAAAAGTAATTTCCTCCCGCAGGCTGAGCATCCTGAGTGCGCAAGGGCTGCCCTGTTGCTGCAAATGGTTGGTCGCAACCCGCAGGTCAGGTCGTGGAATACTATATATTTAGGTTCCCGCTTGCGACTGAAAGGCATCTACAACTACTAAACCCTCAACCCTCAGCAGGATGTGAAACTACTACGGAGCACTTCTGGAGGCTGATCCAGCTCTCTCTGCAGCCTCATGATGTTGTGCTTAAGGAGGCTTTCACAGCCTGTGGACCCGGTTGCCCCATGCTATCGCATCAGCATGGCATCGCATGGCATTGCATCGCAGCCTGGCCTCGTGTAATCGCGCGCACCTGCTCCGCAAGAGTTGCTGCACTCAAGGAGCCAAGCTCTTCCAGAGAGGAGGCGACTTCACCTGCAACTTGAAATCCACTCAAACAAGTGGGGCCAAAGCCCATCTGACCACTTGCCTCCCACACAGTCTGTCGCCCAGAACATCCGCAGCGTTCCGACGTCATCACATGTCAGGACATAGCCTAGCCCGGTGACAATTTCAGTTACCCTCTCGATACCAACATCTGCCAACACGCACCCCTGATGAGCAACTTCCACTCCTGCCGGACCGCAAGACAGCAGCCGCAAGCGGCCGGGCTTCGGTTTGTGCCACCAACCTGCCGACAGGAGTTGCCGTAACATGGATATATTTGAATCCTACCAGCTGTCCTACGTGCAAAGTGAAAACTCATAGCCAAGATAGTCTCAATTGCTTCAGACTGCTTCAGGACAATCAGCCTAGTGGGCCTCTCTGCATGATTCGGATTGAATCTTGGACCGTTTAGAGTTCAGGGTATTGATCCTGTGCAATGGTCTAAGCATGTCTTGGCCGACTGCTCTTTGGACGCCAAGGCTCGCTCAGTGCAGCATCGTTCAGAGAGTATTCTGAGTGTCGCGTAAGGTCTGGCATCCCTACAATTGACTTCCAGGCCCAATATTGTCTGATGTTCGAATCGAGAACAAAGCGCAGGAAGACCACGATAGGTGCCACGCCTCTTGGCAACCAAGCCTAAGAAGCATCACAGCTAAGATGATCGCTGCTGTTCATGGTTTGCCGTCCACTTCTGTTCCAGACCATTCATACGTTCTGGACGCTTCATACCCTTCTTCGACAGGTAATTAGGTGGCTTGAATTTGAAAGCAGTTCCATCGAAGCCTTTAATTCAGAAAGCTTGAAAACTCGCTACTGTCGCAACCTTCCAATTCCTGACTCTTCCCGCTACTGGAAACCAGTGACGAGCCTTGTCCCACGGAGTGCCGAACCAGTCTGCACTTCGACCGATACCAGGCAGTTTGCGAGCAAATAAGCTCGTAGATGTGTGGCGCACCGGATAGGAGAAAAATGCGCCCACCGCTAGAAGAATGAATGGAATGAAACAGTGCACCCTCGCAGAAGGCACGAAAGCCCTGCAAGGGTACAAATTGCAAGCTGCTTTGGCTTTGGATTGACTTAGGTGCCCCTGTTCTGGATGAGGTCCAGTCGCTCAGTGAAACACTGGCTTTTGGGGCATCTGGTGATGTTTGCACGACACCTCGAACAAAATTCATGCCAACAAGGCTAACGGAAAGCCTAGTGGCAATAACCAGCACCCAGCGCGGCTGCTGCATCTCAAAAAGTTCTGATCTGGCCGGGCATAGAGCAACCGAGATGATCGCAGAATCTGCAGGGACTGAGTGGACGCTCGGAGAAAAGTCCGAGTAGTCCCATAAATACCTTACGGCCACTCGTCAGCTTTCAATCTGCTTCTATTCTACAAAGACAATCTAACTCGCAGACCAGGTGCAAAATGTCATCTAGAGATGCCCAGGCCAGTCCTTCGGCAAACAGACCGCAATTTGCACGCTGCCGCACGCGGCCGAAGGCTTCCCGCACTTGACCGGGGATGGGCGACCTGAAGGAGACCCTTCCCGAGAACAGAGGACGAAAGGCTGCCGTTGGATTAGGACCTGAAACTACTGAAAGCCAAGTCACTTTGCCATGTGCGTTAGCTCTGCCAAGCTGTGATCCCACTCCACAGTAAAAGCTGGGCCAACAGTCTCCTGTTAAGGCAGGTTTGGGATCATCGTAGCATGCCTTACCTGACATCTCCTCTGCAGGGCTTCGAAGTGTCTCCTCCAGGAGGCGAACTCCATCCATCGTTTCTGCCTGATTGCAACAAATCTGTCGACACCTCATCAGCTTGTAAGCTTGCGCAAACCTCAGGATATCCTGTACAACAAAGCCGATGACCTGTTGGACCTCCATTGCATGGCACTCGCCACTCTTCAGCGGCAGCCCCCTGACCTAAAACTACCACTCCCACTCTTGGATGGATTCTTTGCAGATTGCCTCTTTTAAATTGATGCATCAGGACGTATATCAGACCAAAACAGTCCAGCACTTGCTCTAACCCTCTCAACGTGCTATCGGACATTCTCTGCAGCTATCCTGGCAACTTCATCGTCGTGTGGCTTGCTGCCTGTCTGTTCATCTTACCCCGTATGCTGTCTTACACCTCAAGCGCTGAGCCACAGCGACTTCAGGATTCCCATTCAAGTCAGATGAGCAAATTCAAACAGTTTGGGCGCATCACTGCAGAAGATCCTTACTGAAGATTCAGCTGTGTCGGCTACCAACAACACATGCTACGTTGGCAGGCAGTGGGCCCGCTTGCTTCCGTAAGCAAATAGCCCAAGCAGGTGCTGCTACCCTGCGCATGTTTTTTTCACCAACCAAACTGGCTTGGCTTGGCTCGGCTTGCCGAAGCTCAGGACCTTCATGCAGGCAGCAAGGCATACTATACCGACCTTCAAATGCAGAGAACCTTGCTGCAGTCCACAAAGCCAGCACATGTCTGGCAATGCTTGTTTCGTGTCCGCCCGGGCGCCCTCGCGGTTCCGAGTAAGTGAACAAGGCGAAGTTGCCTGTGACGAGAATTTATACATATTTTATTAACTATGGAGATAACAACATCTCGCAAGTCTCGTCACGACTGGAAGACATTGGCTCGCTTCATGTTCACTTCGCGAAAATTATGCGGGTTAAAAGCTAGCCACTAGCCTGACTTGTCTGGTCAGGACTGCTTCGCAGTACCTCAAGGAAAACCAGAGGCCAAGGCAGAGGCCAGGCCGCGAAACCAGAGTGGTCCTCAGCACAGCTTGCACCTCCTCCTGCACGTTGTTTGGTGTTCTCGGATGTTGGAGGTGCGCAGAGTGGGGTGGAGTGCTGAGGACAAAACTATCTGCACACAGCACGCTATACACATTTACGCAGCACATTGGCAGTTTCAATTCTTACTATCGCCTGGCAACACTCCCAGTTAGGCCAGTGTAGCCAGATACCGGCCTGGCTGCGAATCCTGGGCGAATGTTTGCACCCCAGGAGGGCTGCGGCCTCCTGGCATTGGTCGGCGTCCCCACGCTAACCGGAAGCGCAGGGGTCGTGCGGTTCGCCGTAAATTGTGGTGAAACGGCACGAAGAACACGTCCGTCTACTGGGCTACCAACATCGCGACTGGCTTGATTCATCGGCCGTGGTGTGGGCACACTGGAAGCCGTGCAGGCTGCACCGGCAATCTGACCTGCTCAACTAAACACAGGGCAATGCCGTTGTGAATGCAAGACTTACAAGCAACGACAAACACCAGCGGCACTGGAACACTAGCCACCATGCTCGCCTCAGGCTGTGCCCAGGCTACTCAACAAAGAAATCTGCTGTCTTAACCGACCACCTGGGTGTGTTTTATTCAAGGACATACTGTACCTTGAGCCGCCTTCCGTTTTGGATGCCCTGACGCGGCTTTCTCGGCCCGGCATTGCATCCTCGCGCTGTGATTAGGTACAGGTGGCAGATCAGGGTACCTAGTGACAGGGCTGTGCTTTCGGTTACATAGCCCTGAAGCGAGTGAAAATTCTTCGTCTTCCTCCCCTGATTTCTGCCAGGCGCTTCACTTCCTTGTTCGGGAGCCTTACGTATTTTACCCATCTCACCGCCACTTTTTGGAGCACACAAGCAGCCCAAACCCTGAGCTCATCCACTTCAAAAACACTTCAAGCATAGATGCGTCCCTTGAACCAAACACGCCGGTGATGATACTCAATTCCATGCACATGCCGGGTACTAAGAGCGGTGGTGCACTAACACGCATGTGCCTGCAGGAGACTGGAGAAAGCAATTTGCACGAGACTGGCAGACAACTAGCAGAAAAGGAGCTGATACTGATAATGTTGCCCCTGCATATGCGCATGCACGCATTTGCCACCTCGAGCAGAACCATTGCATCCAAGCTCAACAACATGCTTTGCCAGCCTGACAAACGCATTGAAAAGGAACGTTAGACTTTTCTATACATTGCATTTCAACTGCGAGGCCAAGTTTCTTTTGAACCGGAATCCATGCTTAGCTAGACCCCTCAATGCACATTGATGACAAGCATCTTGCTCCTGGAATCGCGATGCAAATAGGCGATCCAGCTGTAAGCAATGTCGCTGGAGGCGCTCCTCCGCCTGCTACTTGCAAACTCGCAGGATGCTCATGGGAAGTATTCTTTCGACAAAGAGCCTCGTTGGTCACGAACTGCTCTAAGTCAGACTTCAGTGACCTCAAGCTTTCCAAGAATCAGCTTCTTCACTCACTACTCGTTTCACGGCTTCAGTTGCAGCCAAGCTTGTTGTTGGTACCCACTGAGTGCGAGACTTACAGAAATGCTCCAGCTCTGTGAATCCTTGGCTACTGCCCTCCTACATCACGTATGAATGACCATTAACCACAAGACCACGAAGTACCGCCTTACTTTGGACATAACTCGAATGGCCACCCTGGCCTGCCAGTTTAAGCTGAACAGAGCAGACCACAACACCTCTTGGGCATGCCTCTGACAAGATCTGTGGCCAGGATGCGATTATCTAGGTCTCGAAGCTCAGCCACAGGGAGGTCTGCTTGACTTGCCTGTAAAGCAGGGAACGGAACGGGGGAACAAGCGTACCAAATGTTCAAAAAAACGGGGAAATTTGATGCAGCAATGCCACAGCTAGATTGAACTTGTCCAGGCCTGCTCCACCAGTTGTACAGATGCCTTCTCCTCATCCTCTTTCTTGTGCAGCATGGAGAAAACTTCGATCAAGATCTTGTGAATCTCCTCAAGACAACATCCACAACCCCAATGACAAGTCTCAGAGTGACATGCAAAATGTGCACAAGCTGCTCCCACCACAGGAGGCTCTGACATGCTCTGACTCAACGTGCAAAACAAAAAATGGTCCTAAGTGAGGTAAAGGTAATGCTGCGCCTGCACGGCCCGTTCGCGCTCGCCGCGCTCGTCCTGAGCCAAAGCAGAAAGACCGAATGAAATTGGGACTGCTTTGGCACCACAAAATGTTGGAAACAGAGTTGGCAACTCTGGTCTCCTCGATCATGGCCAGAAGTGCATCACATCTTGCATCCGCTAGTTCCTGAGGGAAGCGGAAATGTCTCAGCAGAAAGTTCCAGGCAAAAAACACTAACGCTACCAAACTCGATCTGTCTTTTTCTGTTTCGTTCGGCGTTGAAAAATCTGGAACCCCCTCCGACCAGGAGATGCCTCCAGGAAGACTGGTACCCGGCAATCAGTTTCAATTTGATCTCTCCTCTGCCTTCTTTCTTCTTCTACGGGTTATGCAGAGCCCTGAGGCTTTGCTGGGGCTAGGCCCCGAACCCCGCGCCGTCCGTCAATCCAGGAGGTCCGGAGTACCACCCAGTGGAAGTGAACAGCCTTAATTCCCCTTTTTCGTCGGGGCCTCTTCTTCTTCTTCTACTACTCTGTCTCTCCTTTCTTCTTCTCTTCTTCTTCTACAGGCTGTAAGGGACGCTGGTAGCCCCCTCGGGAGACCCCGAAGCCCAGCATGCGTCCCGTCTCGAGGTCCCACCCAGGAGGACCAGAACTCCTCACCTAGCATCGAACCAACACGAGACCCCTAAGTTGTTACCTTCCTTGTACTCCAGGTCTCCCAACCCCCTGATTGGCCCCACCAGCACATCGTTCTCTACTCCACTGAGGTGCGAAAATACTTTACCACTCGAAGACCCACAATAGCACACATCCAAACACGTTGGAATACCTTAGACCTGCCACCTTAGATGATCCACCATTAGTGTTTTTCTCTGGTCTGCGTCGCCCTGCCGATATGTGATTGGAAGACCTAGAGCTCTGCTGCCTAGTCTTCCCCTGCACTAGCACGATTTCGCAAGGTTCACGCGCATGAACCTCCGGGGTTGCCACTCGGCTGGTGGCCCCTGCCCAGACGGTATTCGCGAGTTGAGCCGAGGGACCCCTGTTCACTCAAAGCTGCCTAACAATAGCGTGAAAGAACCCTGTGCTTTCGGGATCCCTGTTTGCTGTGTCTGCACGTGCGAAGAACGTGGTTGTGGCTCACAAACATATAAGTAAATACAGCTGCCACTACACTTGGTTTCATGCATGACACGCTCTTTTTTTTAATTCGTTCGGGCAACGGAGTCAGCGACTTGCACCGACCCCGGGTTCCCCTCCCCTGCCCGTGTTGGGCCGTGTTGGGCATGACCTATTGGCTGCTGCGTCACCTTGGCCTTTTCCAAATTCCAGCTACGAGCCCTGGCAGAGATTGCGAGGCACCAAACAAGTTATAGCCTTGGGTGTTGGCCTGCAGTGAGTTGAAACTTGAACACTTCACACCTTTTGTAGCAGACTCGGCTGCACGACTTGGGGAATATAGCCATTGGGACCCTACTGGTTATGCAAAGAGTGTGGCTTTGCAAAGGTGTGGCTTCGCAGGGCTGCTATGTAGGAAAAGGATTCACGGCTTTGAGACCAAACTATAGATACTGCTGCGCGCTGCATCGGTGCTTCCAGCCCGGACGTGTCCGCAGCGTATGGCTGGGACTGGGAAAGGTGTTAGCAACTTACCATCACGCGGGCGTATGTACTGGGTTGACCAAATGCGAATTATATAGTGAATTCATTCACTCACTTTTGGCGGAGCCATGTCAGGTAGCCAAACAGTGTATACTCGGACTGCGTGGTTGGTAGCCGTTTGGTGTCTACAGTGGTTTTGCAGCCCATCCCAAAAGGATGGTTCAAAATTTCTCGGAATGGTTTTCTGGAAGCACCTAATTATGGTCGATCCCACTCATGTTTAAAAACTGTGTCTGCGCGATGATGTCTGCTTTTGCCTCGCCTAGAGATGTCTCTTATCTCAGCTAGGTAAAGGCCTTTAGTGCATGGCTGTAGATGCTGTGGCCACTGCTTGTCTGGTTGATGCCGCCATCTTCTGGAAGAGTAGTTTGCCTCAGTGGTGTCCTTGCCAGAGTCACGGTCTTGCAAAGGTTGTTGTCCGTCTCCCAGCGTGGTTGGCGGGGTTCAGGTTGTACCGCAGGTACTGTAGGACCGGGATATAGGCTTGTCGCGCAGCACCTGACACCCTTCAGGAGCGAAGTTGTAGGCAAAGGTGGGTCAAAGGTGCAAGGAGTATGCGCGTAGTGTTCCAAACTTGCCCAAGTTGAAGATTGCTCAGGGCGGAGACGCAAGGCATAGGTTTCTCCTAAAGCCCGTCCAAGCACTGATTTTGGGAGGAGTGGACTACGAGGGCTCACGGCGCGCGTTGGAGGGCTTGAGGCTGGCGGCTCTTGAGCCAAAATGGCTACTTCTTCTTCTCTTGGCTATAGGGTGCCCTTACGGCACCCCCGGGGGACACCCCCGAGCCGCACGCTCGCGTAACGTTCTGTTTCGGCACTGGGTGGATCGGTGTTCGCTGGATCATAATCGCTCCCCCCCACCCGTCTTCTCCCCCTTCTTCATCCCTATTATCCAACGCACGTTTCCAAAACCCAGTGGAAAATGGTCCAGTGAACCTTGGAGAAATCTGGCCGAGGTAAGGTTAGCAAATGGAGATCCCCGCAACTCCCCTCAAAAGCGCACCCCAGATACAGCCGCATTCTCTCCATCTGCCCCTGCATCTTTCTTTCTTTCATGAGGGCTATGCGCAGGCCCGGAGGCCCACGCGTCCTGCCCAGCCCCTGTTGGGCCGACCTGTTTAACCTCACCCCTCTACGCCTCACAGATCACTTAGCCTGGATACCATGTCCAACGATTTTTGGGAAGTTTTGTGAGGAAAATTTAAGGACTGGTTGCCCACTGGTGACCACAATGCTTTTCTAGCCCAGTTGAGGGAAAGGAACTAAACTTAAGAAGGGGTGAATTGCCTTGTGGCCAAGTGGTTGAGGTGAAACACTGAAGTTCTCGAGGAAGGTTTGGCAGTGATTACCCTGGGGCATACACGTCATGCAGAAGTGTATTCTCTGCCTGAACCTTTCATGTTCAACCTACACTGGGCTGTAAGCCTACTTCCCTGCCATTTGCTTGCACACATAGGATGAGGAAAGATTGGAGGCTACTCCCTCCCTCTCTGAAACTTTATGCGAGCAATGGTCGCCCGGAGCGTAGGACATCACCTCAATGGCTACAGCACCAACTTGGTCACAGCCATCTAACTGCGAAGGCTGAGCCATGTGAGCAGCTACACAGTTTCGTCAAGCCGCTGAGTTGTCCGTTACCATCCGCAGCATTCCAGCTTCCGTGACCGGCTTGGCCATTTGCCAGGCAGACTAAAACTATGGCAGCAGCTTCTTGAAAATGTGGCTGGCGGCTGAACAAGCTGAGCACGTTTGCCAGGGCACTTCGCTGATAAGGGCCGGTGCAAGCAATTACTTGGCCGCGCCTTGAGCATGCAGCCAACAGGAGCGTGCTCCAAGCCTTCATGATGGCAGTTCTGAAAAACTGTGTGGGGACAAAGCTTGCTGCTGTCGCGCACAAAGCCTGCTGTTAAAAGCTAGCCCAGTATCCGAAATCGAGAAACGTGGCGTGTTGTCCTGCCCGTGCTTCTGCCAAGTTAAGAAACCTGAAGACCGCTGGCTCCTTCTTGTTTGATGCCTTGTGTGTCGTGTCCAGAACCTGAAGCCGAAAGAAGCTCCAGTAGCTTTTTCCTGCGCAGCTTTGCCAAAAAAAGTGCACCTTTACAGCATTATTTGGCAGAAACAGGCACAGCTTCATCATCTGGAGGTTTTCGACCGAATGCAGCTGCAAGGGCGAGATGTTCTCATTAACGATGTTCGGCGAAGCAGTTGGCAATGCCTCCTGCCGAAGACTCCCCCACCAATCACAGATTGCTACGCAGAGCCGCAGAAAACGTTACAGGCTTGTCTTTGAGCTTGAAAGCTCTGCTGAATTTTCTGACATGTAGGAGCAGTCGTGCTGAAACAGTACATCTTGCAATTTACAGGGTGGAAAATTGTTCAGCCCAAGGCTGGCCAGGCTTTCGAGCAGCATCTGGTCAGTGGGAGGAGTTCGTTATCACTAGGTCACTAGGTCTCTTGAAACAACCGGCAAGTCCTGACTCCAACATGGGCCATCAGCTTCTTACCATGAACGCGATGAACAGACCTAGAACCTGGCACTACATCAATCTATGCTTCATCATGTGGGTGAGCTTGCACTCAGAAGTTCATCTTCGAGCTTGGTTTCGCTGCTTTCTGGGCTTCGCCTCGACACACAACCAGTGAGGCAAATTACACGGCACCGTTTTGGTTGCTCGTAACTATTCCAAATCAACAGCTTTTTGCCGGCAATGTCTCCCTGCAGCTGCCCTTTCTGCTACACCAGCGCAACAACAGATCAGCATCCCTGCATGAAAGGGAGAATCATGCCTGGCTGCTTCAGGATCCATCTTGACACAGCCTCCAGGCTACATCAGACAAATTGGCTTGCAGCGTGTGATACAGCCGATCTGTGCCCAAACTTTCCGCACAGGTCTGCTGTGCAGAAGCACATGGCCTGCGGCAGACGTTGCGGAGGCGGGTTTAGCCACTTCGGAAGCAACTGCTCCTCATAAAACCACAAACATCCACAAACTGAAAACCAGTGTCTTGGCAAGACCGGTTGGTGTCCGAGTCCTGCCAAGTGCGGGCTGGGAAGCTTGGCTCGTAGGTCCTGCGCAGAAGCGGAGGATTGGTTTTCACCTTTGATGTGGAGCACCACCAAGTCCTTTGCCAGGCCAAACTTGTATCCCAATCCGGTCAGGGTCCTGGGCACTGATCTTACAAAAGGTCTGATGCAAAAACACCCCCAGCTTTGAGAGCAGTGCTGTTGCCGTCTTCTTGGCAATTCCAGGACTGCCATGTCCAACCGCTCCAGCTCGTGCACCTGCCAGGAGGGGACGGCTGCTGCATCCCATCAGAACTTTGCAATGGCTGCATGAGGGTCAAAGGCCTGTCTCAGCTGCTGAATGTACAGCTTCACTTCCTCCAAACCTGAAAGACTAGAGGTAGCCGCGGGGCACCTGCAACACGGCCCAGAGACTGACTGACGCTCGTGCCAGTGGCTGAAAGCTAAAGTGTCTATGTTGTAAGATGTCTGAAGGCCTGTAGAGAGGAAGGCATTTGC